GGATACCCATTGGAATGATATCATCCCTCCCCAACCTCGGCTCTCTCTGCTCACCTTTCAAAGGCACCTGGAGGTGCAAGCCTCATGTATCTCCTTTCCTGAGCACCGGTAGTGCTGCTGGCATCACCTGCTCTCTCTCCACTGGCTGGAGAATTCAGGCTGACTTCATTGTTTCCACCTTGGGAAAATCCCTAGACTAAGCTAGGCCTGACCCAGCATACTCTGCCTTCTAGGAAGTGCCCAGTAAGGGGGAAAGCAGACCCGAAGTGACTCCCCTTTAGTCACTGCACAAGCAATAGCTCCATGAGAGGGATGGACTGTAAGACTATGCCCTCCTGTTCCTCCTTCTCCATCCCCCATGGAGGAGGCATCGCACTTTACCCCGCTGATGCATTCCTACGCAAGTGGGCCCAGGATTTCTGCAAGTCGACTATCATGATGACTTCGTTGGAGGAGAGGTGATACATGCATACCCATTGAGGGCCTCAGGTTTATGTAGTTCAAAATGCAGCAAACCTTTCAGAAAGCCACATAAATAAATTAGTTAGGTTCCTTATACTATTCAAATGGGGAAGTTGAAAAGTATATTCTTGGCACTGCTTTTTCTGTAGTATTCTCTCAATACAAAGAAGGGATCCCTTTCAAAGGCTATCTTTATGAAGCAGACACTATTGCCCTCAGGATGAGAGAACATTAAACTAGTAGTCTGGTAAGCTGGATTTTTTTTCCTATGGCTTTACTTCCTTGCTGTGTGACCTTGGGTGAGTCATTGTCTTCTTGGAGCCTCAGTTTCCCTATCTGTAAAATGAGTTATTTGAAATGGATGATCTCTAAGGGCACCAAATCTGGTATTCTACGGTTCTCCTGTTTTCACTCTCCGTAATAGTATGGGATGGTTTCTGCACCATCCACCTGGGTTCCTCCCTCCTGCCCTTCATTGTTTTTCTGAGCCTTGTTTTCTAGTTTCCCCATGTTTTAATCTCATGGGGATGAGCTCAGAGAAGCTCCCTGGGCCTGTTTCCCAGTCTACAAAGTAAAGGGATTAGATCAGATGGTCTCTGAGGCTCTTTGTGGCATCAGCCTTGCCCAGTGCCACGTGATGTCTCCTGACTTTCTAGGAGTCTACATGTTATGAAAGTACCCAAGTCTGTGTATCTCCTATTCCTGTGCATCTCCTATGAATTTCCTGGCAAGAGGAAAACTCAAGACTTCCTCCAGAGGAATTATCTTCTCTGCCTCCACTCAGCATGGGAACCGCTGTTCATTCTGCCCTTGTCTGCATCAGATTTGGCAGTAAGGAGGCTTGGGGAGCACCTACCTTACTTTCAGGGACAGGAATCTATTGCTCATACTTCTGTTTTCTAGTTTTGGCAATCTAAAGGCATTGTGATGTGGCCTGCCTTTCCTCTCCACACCCCCACCTCTGATGTTCAAGATGCTGTTTCCAGGATCTCTTCCTGCTGCTTCTCCTGGCTCACTGGCCAGAAACCAGCTCACTCAAGGCTGCAGTCTCTCACTTGCAGCCTCCCTGCCATTCTCCTTCACTGGTTGGCAACCTTGAGAGTTCAAAGGAAATCACTCTGTGGTGGTCAACTGAAGCTATAGGAAACTAGTAAGTCTGTGGCTCTTCTCTGCTGATGGAAACAGAAGGGCGCTAAACCATGTCTAAAAAGATCTCGCCAATAATTCTTGTCTTTGGGTGTTGGAGCCCTGGATTCTGGTGCTGTAGCTCCTGGTGCCAAAGTCTGGATCTTTCCACATTTCAGCAGCACCAACATCTGCTGCTACTCAGAATGCTCTGTGGAAGAGGGACAGCTGTGATGCCCTTTTGCTGGGGCTGCCATCTTGAAATCTGAGTGCAATAGGATTTGATTGTAACAGTTACTTCAGGATATTTTGTTTCTTTAATCTGCATACTTTTTAGGTAGATTTTATTTTTAAATGTCCTCAGCATTGCAGAAAATAACATTGTAATAGCAAGTAAAGCTGGAGGCTCAGTTTCTCTGGGCTTCCAATGGCTGGCAGGGCTGGCTCTCAAATCCCAAAGTTGGAAGGCATGTTTCTGAAAAGCAACTGAGGTGGGACTGTTTGGACCTAGGCCTCATCATCAGGGGTCCTGGAGGAAGCCTCCAAGTAGAGAGGAGACCTGGTAGTTAAATAATTGTTTAATCAAGCCAAATACTCCCACTGTCCCAGTCAACAAACCCACTTTTATGGCAAGTTTCTTCTGCAGCTTGGGTCTTAAATTTCACTGGCAGGTCTGTGGTGGTTGGAGGGTTCCTAGTGAGTCGGAGACCTGGCAGTGGAGCTGCTTGGTTGGGAGATGTGGAGGGGGCTTAATGCCAGCAGCGGATCTCTTCTACCTGCTTTTTTATTTTTTGCCACTCTGATACTAAACCATAGAAAGCAGAGAAAGCTGCAGGTGGAAAAAGCAGCTGTGGCTGTTTTTTGTTTTTGGGTGGCAATGAAAAAGAGTCACAGTATGGATTAAAGGGATCTGCAGTGGAGTCAAGGATGCCACCCCACCTTCAGCTGCAGGCAAGCTTGCACATAAATCATCCCCTCTCATTGGAGTGTTAGGGATGCGAGGGGTGCTATAGTGTTCTTGGACTTGCTGTCCTGGGGCAGTTTTAGTTCTTTATATTTGGTGGGTCAGTGCCAAGTGCTACCACTTCCCAGTAAAGGAATAGGGACCCAGAGACTGGGTCCCTGGCTACCTTATCATGAGGTTTTGTTATTTCTCTGACAAGATTGCTTTGGAAAGAGCTGCTTTTAGGGATTATTTTTTGAATACCCCGAGTGGGGAACAGGGTTCTCCTCAAAGCCTCACACCTAAGATCATAGGAAAGGGGCCCTATTTTCCTGCTGCTTCACAGCTCAGAACATATACTGAATGGAATGTATTTTTAAGAGAATAAAGTCTATTTTTTTGTATTTTAAAGATTGGGAGGGCTAAGAAGGTAGCCCTCAAATAAACTGTTATTGCATTATAGGCCCCTTTGTTGGGGGCGGTCTGTTGGTCCACACCTACTTGCTCAGGCAGGTGCCCTGGTCTCACCCCTGCCCCTTGGAGTCTCGGTGCAGCAGCTTCTACATTCCTGCTCTAAGCATGGGACCAAGGAGGCCGGAACCTGTCGCTGGAAACCAGGGCAAAGCCGTGAGCAGTGGCTCAGGGCTCCTTGGGTGCATGTGTCTAGTTGGAGCTGCCTGTCTGCATGTATCCTTTGGCTCTAATGCTCTCTGTTGGCTCTGCAGTACAATATGTAACCAATAAAGCTCCCACGTTTCCATATACTGAGTCCATGATGCCAGATTTGTTAATGTCATCCCTGTGTATGTCTTCTATGCATCGGTGCAGCTCTTGTATACTTCGTTGTATGATATTTAAAATTTTACCTAATTACTGATACCGTAAGGACTGGAAACATTAACTGAGGCTTGGAAAAGGACATGCATAGGACCCACACAACTCAGCTGGAGTTATAATCAATTTCTTCGCAACACTTAATCTTTAGGCTTGTCCACTGTTGCCAGAAAGAGTCATCTCTCTCTCTCATGCTGCCTATGCCTTCTGTTTAAAAAATAAATACCCTTAAAAGACCTACCCTGGATTAGATACCCTAGCTAATCCCCGTGAGGTACAATTTTGATGGAAGAGCTGAGATTCAAATGCAGGTGTATGCCAAGGTCTGTGCACTGTGCAGTGCTGTCACCTTTTCATCAGTTCTTCCACTTGCCCTGATCATGGCGTGTGGATTCTTTCCACACTAATTCTAAGACAAGGGGAAAAAGCCTCCATTTTCATCTTCCAGTCAGACCAATATATATATTATTCCTTAACTCATACTAATAAAACTGCGTTTAAGGGACATTACATGCATTTGTAGTAACAGTTTATCTGTTAGGAGCCCCTGGGAAGGAACGGCATATAACATGTTTTTACCTTATGGCAAAAGGGACTTTGCAGGTAAGGATTCTGGGATAAGGGAGATCATCCTGGATGATCCAGGTGGCCCTTAAATGCAGTCAATCACAGGTAGTAAGTATCCTTTTAAGAGGGAGACAGAAGATTTGACTACAGGAGAAGGCAATGTGATGATGGAGATGGAAGCAGAGACTGGAGTCATGTGCTCTGAGGATGAAGGAAGGAGCCACAAGCCAAGGAACATCAACCCTGGAAGCTGAAGAGAGCAAGGAAATGAAATGATCCTCTCCTCTCTGAGCGCCTCCATAATGAATGCAGCCCTGCAGACCCATTTAGACTCTGGGCATCCAGAACTTTTTTTTTTTTTCTGAGATGACGGGAGTCTCACTCTGTCACCAGGCTGGAGTAGGTGCAATCTTGGCTCACTGCAACCTCTGCTTCCTAGGTTCAAACAATTCTCCTGTCTCAGTCTCCCAAGTAGCTGGGACTACGGGCATGTGCCACCACGTCCAGCTAATTTTTGTATTTTTAGTAGAGATGGGGGTTCACCATGTTGGCCGGGATGGTCTCAATTGCTTGACCTCGTGATCCACCCACCTCAGCCTCTCAGAGTGCTGGGATTACAGGCGTGAGCCACTGCACCCGGCTGCCAGATTTGGCAATTTGTTAAACCACCTGTTGCCTAAGCCCTTGATCATATGTAGTACTTCCCAAAATGTACACCACCACCTTTAGCAGAATTGGGAAGTTAGCACATCCCCATGGAGGAAATTAGGAATAAAGGCAGACTGGTCTCCCAAAGGCTCAAACTTTGTTTCAGCTTTTGTGTTTTATCTTGAAAGTGCATCAAGTTTCCTAATAACCATGTTCTTGGCACCCTCCCGAACATGGGGAAGTCTAGTCCACTGACCAGAAAGTCCACTGCTTCTACAGGACTACCCAATCTTCTGACCTGATCAAACCATATTTTAATGTGGAGAAAACATATGTATTACTATCGCCATAGGATAAAATTGGTATTTCCAAAGGAGTGACACCCCCATCTTGTATGTAACTCCAACCCAAAGGAAAAGAGTTAATTTTATATGAAGTTTTATTCTCAAAATAAAAAAAAAACAAAAAAAAAAAAACCAAAAAACCAAGGGACTAAGATGTTACTTCACAGCACTTGCTTGCCTCAGTCTTTATGAAGAACACAATTCCAAGCTAATGGACAAGTTCCTCCTTGTGCTCTAGGTCATTCAAAGGAGACAAGCTCCTTTGTCAAATCAGGAGCCCAGATGCCAGGGTGGGAGGTTCTCAGTGGGACCTAGTATTGCTAGAAGAGCCTTGCTTATACAGCATTGAGACAAGCACATGGGTCTCTTCCCTTACAATGTATCTGTCTCACATGCTTGGGGACTGCTGTGCAGGAACACCTGGTGTGGCCTGGCGAGGCAGTGTATACATGGCCCCCAAAAACTGGTCTGCAATTCTTCCTGCTTCTCGCAGCCCACTCAGCAGAGCACCATGCACTGTGGCTGGGTAGTTACGGATCGTATGTTCTCCCGCAAAGAAGAGTCGTGGAATCGGCTATTTTAGGGGAAAGAGAAAATTGGGGAATTTAGGGGATTTAGAGGAAAAAAGAAAATTGGCAAGTTGCACATACACCTTTATTCTTGTACTTAAAAGTGCTAAATTCCTATTGACCTTTTAAAGGCTGATCCCCCAATTACTATTCATCATTCTATCCAATAGTGTACCCATCAGTAGGCATTTTCCCAGAACTGACAAGTAGAAATGGGACAATAAACTACATGTAGCCTCAGTCCTAAAGTGAAGCTTATTAACGTGTTCTTATCAGTTACTAACAGCCAATTCTAGAGCTCCCTTCCCTCATGTCTAACAGTACCTTGTGGGAAGAAGCCTTGCTACCCTGAAGCACAGGACATTTGGTGATCAGCGACACTTTAGCCTTGCAGCTCAGAGCCGGTCTGAGCTATGACACTGAGGAACTCTTCTGCTCTTTGGACTGGGGTCTGGCATAAGGGTCTAGATAAGGACCCAGGGTTATTTCTCAGGAATGCCCTGGAAGCCCCTGGTAATTGAGACCTTGCAACAATCCTATGAGCCATTACAACATGGAAGTGCAGTTAAAAATGGTTTTGTTTTTTAGGGGGAAAACCTAAATAAGGAAAAATGTTACTGACTTATACTCTGGACTCCTCCATTTTGAATGCAGACTGCCTAGATTTAAAAAACCAAATTATGAGAATCAGAAATGCTGCCCCTCCTTTTAACTCTGTTCTTGGTTATCTGAAAGGGTCCAAAGATAGAATGACTAAAATCTGGAAAAAAAGAAAAATCAATGACATCATGAGATCCTGGCCTCTTCCCAAATAGGCCCAGACAGTTCCTCACCTGTGGGGCGCCTGGAATTGAGGGGCCAGGAGTGATTGGCTGAGCCATTAAATCATAGTCATTTCCAGATGATCCTGCAGCAACATAGGAATAAGAGCCCCGGGCCCAAGGATCAGCACGCCAACGAGACACCACAGTTTCTTTGGGCTAAAAGAAAGACCAGGAGCAAAAGTCATTATGAGACACCAAGGACAAATCAATCCTTGAAAAGTGGAAAGGCAATGGTGGGTGGGAATACAAGTGAAAGAAAGAGGCGACAGATATGAGATCCAAGTGATCAAGTGATGAATGCTCTGCTTTAAAATAAGACATGGACACAAGGACTTCAGACACCCAAGACACCTCCGTGTTGCCTTCCTGTTTATGAGTCCAGAGTCTACTACACAGGGTTTGACTTTTATTCTCTTTTATAAATTCACATGAAGCATTAATATGCTTCCTAATCCCTTCCCTAAGGAATTCTAAGGGGTTGAAGTATTTCACAGGGCCTGAAGAACAGGAAAACGTACCAAGAGGTTGAAGACTTCCTCGAGATACTCACTGAAGTTTGGCATTTTGTTTAAAATGGCAGGGGTACAGTGAGACTCTAAAGCCAGAGGAGAAATGCAGCTAACAGCCTTCAGATTCCCCAGCTCTTCTTCTGAGGGGTTTTCTGAACCCCATGCTTAGGCCATGAACTTCAAACATTAATATTCATGTAAAAGCACATACCTCAATTCAAGCTTAAACTGTCCTGACCAAAAACATGCTGCAAATACATTTGCTCCATCCACCTACTTACCTGCGGTACTGCACTGCTTCCAAAAATCCCTTTAAGAATGGCCAGGCATCGGCCAACAATCACATCATCACTTATATTTTCCATGATACCAGCAGCTTCTCCTGCCACTAGTGCCAACAGTATTGGAGCTGGGGAAACAGAAAGGATAATTCTAGCATTTTCCTACAGACTTTTCCTCAAAAACTTCCTCATCAGGCCTCACCTTATTCCTGGGGCTCTGAAATCTGATGATAAGATACATGCAGCACCACTCAAATGTGGAGAGACAAATTATGTTTCTGAAACAGTGTGCAGAACTCTTGTCGCCAGAAACCGGCCAACAGGAGCTGGCAGACTAGAGAGTGAAGTAAGACACACAGGCACCTCACTGCTTCTAACTTGGCAAAATACAGCAGTTACGAAGATATAATTTTAGACCTTGCTAATAAAAGGGAATTATTAAGCATCCCTTTGTTTCGGCACAGAATTCTTAACCCTGACTACCTTAGATAGCTCCATGACGATGGCTACATTCCTTTTAGCCATCCCAGCCCTGTCTTCAGTCACCCATCTGGTGAGTATTTATGCAACAGACTTACATGATAGGCACAGTACTAGAAGAGAGGGTTAAAAAAAATAAACTGTATACTCCAACAGAGCAACAGAAACAAAATTACACAGATGATTATTAACTGTGATAGAAGTTATGAGGAAAAACATAGGCTACAGGGAAAAGAATACAGGGATTGAATTTACATTCAGGACAGTGGAGACGTGTGTTGTGGAAGTCTTTGAAATACATTTAGGTCAAGACCTGTATGCTGAGTAGAGTAAGACAGGTTAGAAAGGAAGGGGGGCCAAGGGGTTGGGGGTTGGGGGAGAAGCAGCCCCCACCCATATCTAGACCACAGTACATGCAGAGGCCCTAAAGCAGAGAACAGCATGCTATCTTCCAGGACGTGAGAACATTCCAGATGAATGTGCCTGGAACTTGGGGATGGACAAAGTAGAGATGAGCTAGATAATGAAGAACCTCAGCATAGGCCAAGATAAGGAGTTTGAACATTTTTTTTCAGCAGTAGAAAGTCACTAAAAGAAGCAGGAATATCAGTAGAAGCTATTGGTAACCATCCAGGAAACAGTAAGAATGGCTTGGACTGGGAGGTAGGCAGTAGAAGTAAACAGGTTTGTAAGAGACTGTAAGGCTGGCACTGACAGGACTTGACAGCCTGGGTGGGGAAGGGAAAAGACACGCTGCTATTGTCAGAAAGCAAGGTGCTCAGGGAACCAGGTGCCCCTCTGTGAAGTTAAGAGGCCCTGGGGTGTGAAAGACCATTGACCATTGGGCCATGAGTAGTAATGAAAAGAACTGGGGATGGGAGGCAAGCCAGTTAGCCGACGTGTCTGCACTGACAAGGCCAATGTCTTACTGTTTTTATAGCCTTTTCTTGGAATAAGGTGGGGTACAAATATACCTTCTTTAAGTCTACATAGAGTTAAGTCCAATTACAGAAGAAAATAACTGAACAGGAGGTAGGAATTTGATAAGTACATTCTAAGGGAAGTAATCCAAGAATCGGGCAAGTCAGCCTGAGAATGAGGAATGCAAGCTTCCCCTGGTAGGAAGCCTCCCTGGGTCTGTCCCTCCAGTCTGAATGAACCTCCAGTAACCTGGGTGTTCAGCCAGTCACTGTACCTAGTGCCCTGTTCTAAGGCTGCTTCCCCTCTTACTGTGTCCCCACTAAGTTCTGAGTTCCCTGAAGACAGGTACTTTTTTTTTCCATACCCCAGTACCTAGAAGATTATTTCTGGAATTGTTTGTTAATTAAAAAAGAGAAGGCATATATATTGAGAAAACCCAGAATAATTCAAATTCTATATTCCTATAGGGATATGGAAAAGATTAAAATTAGAAGGCATTTACCTTTATAGAGATTCCAGAAGAGGAAGAGCTCACCCCTGCTGGCAGTCGTACTGCCAACATGCCCAAACAAATTGACACTTGGATCCCAGAACACCCGGTCAAAGCACAACACCACCTGCCATAAGAAAGATGCACATGAGTTAGTGATAGGGGCCAGATAATACTGGCTTCAACAGAGCTGGGCCTCGACTTCTTCAAAGTCTCTTCTAATCTGCTTTCAAAATAAGCCCAGAAATGCTTATTATAAATTATTTTACGATGACATTTACACCTCTCTTTTTATAGGCCTGAGTTTGTGAAATGGCCCCATAAGACTAAGTCCATATGAACAGACACTTGATGACAGACTTAGGCACTGAAGAGAACCAACTGACACTCCTCAGCCCTGATGTCACCATTGAGAATATAGCCAAACATCCAAAAATGCAAGGCCCCCTCCTCACCAAGTAAAGGACTAAGATTGATACTTGTATATCCAATCTGTAGACAGAAGTGCCTCGGGCAAGTTACCTTGTTAAGGTTGCCAAATCCCATCCTTTGGACTGCAGATGTTTTCCACTCAGGAAGAGGTGGCACAAACTGAACAGCTGGTGGCTGCTGCTTCAGCACACCCAGGGGAAGGGTACAGAGAACTGCATCGCATTTATAAATAAAGGTTTGACTCGTGGAGCGGGTATTCACAGCTATCACTTCACATCCTGCAGAGGGTGGGTGGGAAAAGACTAGTGGTGATGAATATGGCACTGAATACTGAACATTTAGTGCACAACAGATGGACATCCATCTCTCAATTCTCATCTTTCTATTTTCATTACCATCATGTTTCACTTAAAACTGAGGTAGAGGAGAAATAACTCATCTATGGCCACACAGGTAATAAGTGCCAGAATTCAAACCCTTGTAGTCAACTTCAGAGTCCTTGATTGTCACCCCCACACTACCCTCCCAATATACTGGTGATCTAGACTAACGAAAGCACCTTACCACTTATTCAAGTTAAGTACATTTAGACCAAAAATAAAAGAGTAAAATGCTCATCCCAATAGAACCAATGTCTTTTGACTGTGGTTAGCTGCTCACTATTGACCAGTAGAAGAATGCTACCAGAAGACCGTGATGCAGATCTAGGGGAGACAGCCTCAAACTGTGAAGCATGCTGTGCCTGAGAATTCAGTGATCCCCAGTCTGTCAAAATAGAAATAAGCTCAAAGCTGACCTCAGGAAGGGTACTGAAATTATGTTAACATTATTTTCCTCATTTGTTTTTAAATGAATGTCTATTTATATTATATTATATATATCAAAATAAATATGAAAGCTCAGTACATGCTAATTTTCTGTGACTGCAGAACTAGGGAAAAATGGCACAGCATCTATTCTCACTGTTCTCCGTCTGCCTGCAAAAGTCAAGGCTACAGATCTCAGCACTGTCACCTAGAAGCTGCCTCTGATGGGAAAATTAAATGGAAAGCCGTTTCACTGGTTCTTAGAAAAAAACAAAACATCTGTGGTGATCTCAGCAACTCTAAGGAAGGGGGCCACACAGGGAAGACTGATGGTTACGTCTCCATTTCTCATGCCCACACAGTCACACATGGTACTCGGAGAGGGAGGTGACTAGCTATCTTAAGGAGTTCAAAATGCAACAGTGCTCTGCACTTTACATTAAATGTAGTCTGAAACCAGCAATAATAATGAGCATTGAGCCTATCCCCATAGCAAGCACAGGGAAACTCCACCTCTGAAGTCAACTTATTAGCAGGACTGCTCCAGAACTAGGAACCATACATAAGCGAATTAGCCCAGCTGAATAGAAAAGGCCAAAATGAATCCAAAGACCAAGATGTGGGAGATGAAATGTAAGGGGCGGATCCTATTGGAGCCCAGGGGCCAAAATCTTGGTATTTAAACATACTTAGCAAAATTAGATGCAAACTCACTGGCTCACCAAAACTGAAAACTTTTTGAGCACTGAATGGTGCTCAAAGCATTGTAGATTTCAGATATTCTGATTAGAGATGCTAATATCCAACTAGTTCATGACAAATTGGAAACTCTAAAACTTGCTTCAATTTCCTGTTTTATAAAATGATAAGAGTTAGAACCACCAAAGACTCCATAGGTTTGACTGTCTGTAAATGCCAATTTTTACCTAGAGTGTCACAGTTTAAACACACTATCAGTGTGTTTAAACAATGCTCATTATTATTGCTGGTTTCAGACTACCTAACAAAAGATCATTCCTGTTTCAGGAGAGTTCTATCTTACATTCTGTAAAGCAGTGACATACCTGAAGCCGTGTAGCGAACCTGTCGCACTGCTGTATTCAGTTTAATGTCTAGGCCTTCTGCTAAAGCCACAGGCACACATGAGTAGCCATTCCTCACCGTCAGGTGGCTGCCAGTGAACTCAAAGTCATCATCCTAAAAAGGAGAGAAAAGAACACATTTCCAACCTTTTCTTAATCCGTATCATCTGCACCTAGTTCTGTACAACAAACACAAGCTTGTGGAAACAGTCAATATTTTAAGGCAAACTAAAGAACAAATAACTCAGTATTCAGCTACAGTTATCAAAGGAAACTGAAGGAAAAACCAAAATGTCTCTAAACACACACACACACACACACACACACACTCTCTCTCTCTCTCTCTCTCTCTCTCTCTTTTCTTTCTTTCTTCCATATACATATATGAGACAGAGTCTTGCTTTGTCATCCAGGCTGGAGTTCAGCAGTGCCGATCTTGGCTCCCTGTAACCTCCGACTCCTAGGTTCAAGTGATTCTCTTGCCTCAGCCTCCTAAGTAGCTGCTGGGATAACAGGCATGCCCACCACCCAACTAATTTTTGTATTTTTAGTAGACATAGGGATTCACCATGTTGGCTAGGCTGGTCTCAAACTCCTGATCCACCAACCTCAGCCTCCTAAAGTGCTGGGATTACAGGTGTGAGCCACCGCACCTGGCCTTCCCTGGATAGTATTTATCATCCCAGTCCAATACCACCAAGTCCTGATCTATGGTGGTTAGGGTAGGGAGGTGGTAGGGGGAATTGATGATCCAGGAAATTCAGGTGATTAGACATCGTTCAAGCTTATTCATCTGGCTTTTTAATACATTACAGACTTGAAGGATACATTTTTTTACCTGAGAGCAAAATCAGTTTTTATTCTTTAAATTTCCAGGTTTTAAAAAGTCGAGAAAGACTTCCAAAACTAAGTCAAACTAGATGAAGGTAATCTAGGATCATAAAGAGTGGCCCAACAGAGTCCATGCAGTAAAAAAGTCAACATTTGACCTGGAATTTACAAATCCCCAAAATGATCTTATTTCTTTGAATTTACTGAAAATTTTCTATATGACTTTTTTTTGTAAGCTAGTAAGGATTTCTAATTTCATGAAATTCTTGGGGAAATTAGATCCAAATACTGGGCTAGCAGTAACACTCTATCTACTTCAGTTGAAATCACTCATTTAAAATTTAATACTATTACAAATAGATACATTTTGAAATATCAAATGATAAATCAATGACTAGAAGGGCCTAATTTAGTATTTACATGAAAAACCATAAAGGAACTGGTACTTTTGCAAGACTTTACCTCTAACAAGTCCAACTCTTCAAATACTAAAAATAGCAGTTTATAATCAGAAGATTAGGAAGTCAAAATAATTTTTTTTTTTTTGAGATGAAGTTTCACTCTTGTTGCTCAGGCTGGAGTGTAGTGGCATGATCTTGGCTCACTGCAACCTCTACTTCCCAGTTTCAAGTGATTCTCCTGCCTCAGTCTCTCAAGTCACTGGGACTACAGGTATGAGCCACCATGCCCAGCTAATTTTGTATTTTGGGTAGAGATGGGATTTTACCATGTTGGCCAGGCTGGTCTCAAACTCCTGACCTCAGGTGATCCATCCCCCTTGGCCTCCCAAAGTGCTGGGATTATAAGCATGAACTTCCATGCCCTGCCTGTCAAAATAATTTTCATTAGGAAACTGTATAATGTAAATTAAAATATGTAAGTAAAAATATAATAATTTACTTCTATACAGTTTTTTTTTTTTGGGGGGGGTGGAGTCTTGCTCTGTTGCCCAGACTGGAGTGCAATGGTGCAATCTCTGCTCACTGCAGCCTCCACCTTCCAAGTTCAAGTGATTTTCATGCCTCAGCCTCCCAAGTAGCTGGGATTACAGGTATGTGCCATCTTCCCGGCTAAATTTTGTATTTATAGTTGAGACAGTTTCACCATGTTGGCCAGGCTGGTCTCGAACTCCTGACCTCAACTGATCCACCCGGCTTGGCCTCCTCAAGTGTTGGGTTTACAGGAGTGAGCCACTATGCCTGGCCTATACAGTCTTAAGTCAGGCCAAAGTCTCAGATTTAGAGATTGGTCCAAGAAGCCCTGTGATTTCTCACGTGAAGAGTAAACCACACTGAAATTTAAGAAAAATGGTAAAGCCCTGCCCACTGAGAACTATAAACATCACTGACATAAATGAAAAAGCATTTTTGGAGAAGTATACTGTGTTTAAGGATAAGAATACTTGATATTAAGATGGCAATTCACCCTAAATTAATCTAGAAATTTAATGGACTCCTAATCAAAATCCCAGAAGGTAATTTTTATAGAAACTGACAAGTTGATTCTAAAATTGTTATGGAAATACGTAAGACCTTAAAATAGCCAAAACAATTTCAAAAATGAACAAACTTGGATAACTTACAAGACAGTGTGATAGTGACATATGGATAGACAGATAAATTAACAGAAAAGAGCAACCTTAAATACTCATGCTTACATGGCCAATTAATTTTCAACAAAGGTGCCAACACAAGTGAAGAAAAGGATGGTGCTGGAACAATTACATAGCTACATGAAAGAACATAAACCCTTCACTTAGTTTTCACTATACACAAAAATTAACTCAAAATGGATTGCAGACCTATACATAAGAGCTAAACCTATACAATTTCTGGAAGAAAACACAGTATAAAATCTTGGTGACTTCAGGTAAGACAAAGAATTTTCAGAATACAAAAAGAACATGGTTTAAAATTAAAAGTTTAGAAATAGGACAGGGAGTCCAAGGCAGAAGGCTCACTTGAGCCCAGGAGTTCAAGACCAGCCTGGGCAATGTTGGGAGACTTTGTCTCTACTAAAAATTTAAAAACATTGGCCAGGTATGGTGGCACATGCCTATAGTCCCAGCTACTCGGGAGGATCACTTGAGCCCGTGCAGTCAAGGCTGCAAGGGAGCCATGAACATGCCACTCCCACCTGGGCAACAAAGCAAGACCTTGTCTCATATAAAAGAAAAAATTAAAGTAAAAACTTTTACTCTTTGAGACAGATTTAGAAAATTAAAGGCAAGCCACAGATGAGAAGAAAATAGTTGCAAAACATAAATCTGACAAAGGACTTCTGCCTAGAATTTAAAGAACATAATAAACTTCAAACTCAACAAGAAGACAGACTAATAGGCAAAAGATCTGAGCAGACATTTACTCAAAGATGACATATGAATGGCTCATAAGCACAGGAAGAGATGCTCTACATCACTAGTCATCAGGGAAATGCAAATACTACTATACCTATTAGAATGGCTGACATTTTAAAAACTGGCATTACCAAGATTGGTGAGGATTTGGAGCAAATGGAATTTTCATACATTGCTGGTGGGAAGGCAATTTGGAAAACAGTTTGGAAGCTGAGTTATAAAGTTAAAAATCTACTTTCCATAGTACCCAGCAATTCCACTCATATTTACTCAAGAGGAAGACATGAACATTCTTAAGCAACCTTGTTCATTAGCAGTCAAAAAAGGGAAACAATCCAAATGCCTATCAAGGCACCAATGAATTCTACTAAATAATAAAAAGGAACAAACTACTGATATAAGCAAAAAAAGATGAATCTCAAAACTTCATGTACATTGCAAAAACTATACTAAATGAAATACATCACACACAAAAAGCTATGTACTGTATGATTCACTTTATATGAAACTGTAGAATAAACAAAATTGTAGTGATAACAAGCAAATCAGTGGTTGTCCAGGGCCAGGAGCTGGAGCATGGGAGATTAACTGCAAAGGGGCCGGAGAAAACTTTTCAGGATGATGGAGGTGTTCTATATCCTGTTTGTGTGGGGGCTTATGACTGAAGTCTGGCAAATCAATAAACTGTTCAATTAAAATAGGTGAATTTCACTGTACATAAATGATGTCGCTTACTAAAGCGGTTTAAAAACATACAAAATTAAGTGTTTTTCTTTCTTATAATCCCTCTCAGACATGTGCAATAAAATAAACAATAAAGGAAATTCATTTACCTGATCCCAGTGTTTAAGGGAGAGAGTTGAGAGAGGTGTGGCATTAGCAAATTCAAGATTTGCAAAATGCCAATCAAGTATTTGTCTGTCTCTTGAGGAGAGATATACATCACTGCAAAAGTACAAAGGAGCACAGAATTATTAAAAGATATCACTAGTTCTTCACACTTAGTGTGATGTAGATGATCTCACTGGGTCAGAACCTAAGCCAGGGCTGTGCCTTATGTGAAGAAATTATAAGTAGGATCTTATCTGACTTATTAACCTCTTTATCTCTGATGTCTAGAGCAGTGTTATGCTCACTACATAAAGCAAATCACATGTAGGCCTCATTTGTCTGAAAATAAGAAAAAAAAAAATTCTTCATATGAAATCACTTTATATCATAAAAACTTCTTAGTTGTAAAAAAGGGTCTTATATCTTACACACAGCATAGACTCTATACAAAGGATGGGTAGGCCGGACACAGTGGCTCACCCCTGTAATCCCCAGCACTTTGGGAGGCCAAGGCGAATGGATCACCTGAGGCCAGGAGTTCAAGACCAGCCTGGCCAACATGGTGAAACCCCATCACTACTAAAAATACAAAAATTAGTTGGGTGTGGTGGCGGACACCTGTAATCCCAGCTACTCAGGAAGCTAAGGCAGGAATATCACTTGAACCCGGGAGGTGGAGGTTGCGGAGAGCTGCTCAGATCACACCATTGCACTCAAGCCTGGGTGACAAGAACAAGTCTCCACCTCAAAAAAAAAAAAAAAAAAAAAAAAAAAAGGATGGGTAGCATCCTTGAATACAGAACAAAGCAAATTTATGTGGAGGCTGGATGCATGTGAAAACATTTAACCAGCATTCACTGTCAAAAACCCAGTGGAAATAAAGCATAATACCTAGCATAATACCTCCCTAGTCCCCAGAATTATAGAAATGTAAAGCAATAGCACCTTCTACTCCCTCAAAAAATATAATTTCCATTTATTATATCTTTATCCAAATATCAGTTCTTATGGAGAAAGGCTATCTCTTTAGAAACAATCTATTCAGGTACCTAGGACACATTAAAATATAGAGGCAGGGATTTAGAAACCTCACAAGTAGTCACACGGTCAGGTATTTTCCATTGATTTAACAATTTAAAGCACTCACTGACATAAATAAAAGTTTACTATGCTTTAAGAATTCTCCTTCTAGATCAAAGTGAAAGAACAGTAAAAGCTATCCCTCTGAACTTTTGTGTTTGTTTACCTTACCTCGGAGGATTCGCTTCCAGTTCCTGAAGTTTTTCTTCTAGCTTTCCTTGTGTTTCAGCTAATTCATCATATTCCTGATAAAAATTAAGTGAATCTGAGTTATCCTGTAGGGTCAGATATCCACCTACTTTCTTTATACCACAAAGTATAAGGTCTGGATCATATTTCGTCTTCAGATCATGTATAGGAAGTGTGGCTCAGTTTTAGGCTGGGGTTAGATAGAACTCAAGAGATTTTTGTTTTTGGAGACAAGATACCATTGTGGGCCTGGAATATTAGGGGAAGGCAGGGAGCACACAGAAGGAGAAAACAATGGGAGAAACATACTAGTGTGCTACAAAGTAGAGATGAAAAATCATAGCAAGGACCATTTCATGAGCATCCCATGTCCCTAGCATTGGGTAAGTACTTTATACATAGTTTTATTTAAGCTTCACAATTACCCTACAAGGTAGGTATTACAACTATGTCACAAATGAAACAATTAAGGAGTCCAAGGTAACATGGCTTGAGATACCAAGTAAGGGATTTGAATCAGACAGTCTGACCCCAAATGACTCTGAAGTCCATGTTTATTACTATTATTCAAAACTGGTAGGGCTAAACTGATATTTCAGATAAAATGATGAGATTATTAAGACAGGATAAGAATCTGCAGGACAAGCAGGTCTTAAACCAAACTAACCCATTAAGTTCCCATGGTTCCCTATGTACCAAACCGTTTTCACTGCACTGTAGGCACTTGTGATTGGCTAGTGGCTCTCTTTTCCAAAATTCTCAGATTTGTACTATTTCTTAGGATTTCAAGTAAAACCAGTTAGGCCTGTATGTATACCATACCTTGCATAGGGCGGTCAGATCCCTGTGTTTGCTTTTCACTAAGAACTCGGCAGTAATGTCTCTGGGTGGCTTTACTTCAGATGCTTCTTTGTATTGCTGATGGAGTTCTTTAATTTTCTCTTTCAAATTTACCATCTAAGAAGGAAAAGTACAAATTTACCATTCCAGATAGTAGTGTAGTTCATGCATATCACATGTACCCTCAGTTTTGGCTCCTCAAAACTGCTATCACAACAAAACAGGCTACAATGCAAGGCCCTTAGAATTCTTAAATACCTGTTCTAACCTACATCATTACATCCGGGAAACAGGAAAGAAATCTTATAGGGCTTGACATAAAGGTACCACAACTCTATCTGATAAGTAAGATTGGTGCTGTCTTCTAAAATGAATGAGAAGTACAAGGAGTGTCCCATTAATTTAAACAAACAACAACAAAAAAAACCCAGTGTTGAAATAAATTTAATCTCCACCAAAAAGAAACTATTGCTAATGTAACTTAAACTTATTTTGGAAAACAAATTGTCATACTGTATTTTTTAAATATGTAAAAGGTCAAATAATTTTTTTCCCCTAAGAAATGGAGTCTTGTTCTGTCACCCAGGCTGGAGAGCAACAGCGCAATCTCAGCTCACTGCAACCTCTGCCTCCTGGGTTCAAATGATTCTCCTAACTGGGATTACAGGTGTGTGCTACCATGCCTAGCTAATTTTTTGCATTTTTAGTAGAAATGGGGTTTCACTATGTTGGCCAGGCTGGTCTTGAGCTCCTGACCTCAAGTGATCTACCCACATCAGCCTCTAAAAGTATTGGGATTACCGGCATGAGCCACCTGGCCAAAGAATCTTAAGGAACCATTCTTAATGTCAGTTTTTTTCAGGTTTCTGATGATACTACACAGGACAAGAGTGACAAAGCCTGAGACTGGGCACCATATAGGTATCCTGCCACTTCGTAGTTCTTAAGGCACTTTTTTCATTTCATCCTTACTACAATCCATAAAGACTGTGAGCTGGACCTCTTCATTAGACAGGATGAAGAAATGAGGCATAGTGAGAGAGAGGTAAGAGTCCAGTCACAGGCGCACCCTGAGTATGCACCATAAAGGACCCCTCCAGGGGCGATTTTCTCCCTAAGCTGATGTGACCTTTGCAGCTGGCAGTGTGAGGAGACACAAATGATTGGACTTTAATGCTCTGGAGCCTGGGGCTCTGGAAGATGGTGACAGAGAAGAGCCCTAACAGCTCTGCCCTGGGTAACAGAGGTAGGGGTGGCAGCAATTCAAGATAAATAATTATGCCAATGGAAACTTGGCTCCAGTACAGCTAATCCCCTGCTAGTCCTAGAATTCAGCCGAGGACACTGGGATAGCTTTAGAGTAACTAAACCAAGCTTGTCCAACTTGTGGCCCAGGACAGCTTTGAATGCAACCTAACACAAATTCATAAACTTCCTCAAAACACTGATTTTTTTTTTTTAAGCTCATCAGCTATCATTAGTGTTAGTGTATTTTATGTGGGACCCAATACAATTCTTCTTTTTCTAATGTGACTGAGAGAAGCCAAAAGATTGGACACTCCTGAGCTGAAGGGGACCAGACTCAGAGGAAAGATGATCTGTTTCCTCTGGCAATAATTTATTAACAATGCCACACTGAAAGACTGACATATAAAACAGTCTCTTTTGTTACTTATTATTTTCTTAAGAATGATTCCCAGCTGTGCAGACTTTCTCTTCCATGGAGGAAAAAAAATCTCAGAAATGCTTTTAAAATTTCTAAATTAAAGACTTTTTCTTCTATTAAAGCTTCTTCAGCTATGAAGAAAATATAAAATTTTACCTTATTAAGAAGTTCTTTCAATTCTTCCTGAGTTTTCACTATCTTCTTCCAATGTTCAATCTGTTCATCTTTGACATGCTTTTCTTGCAACCTATGAGAGACAATATGTATAACCTGGTCTCACAGTCAACTTTGCAGAATAAGACAGGTGCCCATCAAAAACATTTAAGGGCATCAGGGCCCACTGAAACTTCTAATACTTAGGAACAAGAAAGTTGGCTAGTGGGAAATTATTTCCTAGGCTCTGTTAAATACAGTATAATACTATAAAAACAATGAATTTCAGAAGTGAAAGGGGCCTTAAGGGATCATATAATTATTTTAAATGATTTTTAATTTGGAATTCAATGGTTTCACACAAAAATAAGTAAAAACTAGCTCAAATAAGACTTGCAGAAAAACTGAAAACATAAATAGCAAATCTTTACACATGGAACTCACTACACAGTAAGCAGTATCAAAGTACTTACTGAATGACAACTTCCAATGCCTGGCCAAGGGACACAGGCTTATTATTGAGGACATTGAAGTCTAGCTGATGACTAAGGTAAGATGTAGCTTCTAGCAACCGGTTAAACTCTTGCTCTACCATTTCATCTTTCTCTTTAGGAACCTGAAAATCCGAAGTATAGCAGAGTTGGTCCTTATAAAACTAAATATAACCATCTATGAAAACACAAATGCTGTACAGTTTATAAAGGTCAAAATATGTATCTCAAAGGGGAAACCTTTGAGCAAAATGATTCAAATTTTCTTTTCTATGAAGTGGTCAAATCCATTTAAATGAGATATGAAATGTTTCGGCCCTGACATTTCCTCTTCTCCCACTTCTGCCCTCAGAGCTGGGACTCTACCTCAATTATTAACAGCCATAAGATTTACACTGGTGCTAACTGAAGTCACATGGAGCACAAGGGGCACTGAGCTGACATGCATTAAATTGAGCTGGCTGACATGCAAACAACACACTAGAAAAGTCCCAGAGAACAAAAACTATGTCAACACACCTGAGGACCTTCCAAGAATAAGGGCAAGATGGGAAAATAAGAAGCCCAAGGTATCTGCTTCCCTTCAAAGATGAATCTCAGGTGGGAGGAGGGAAGAGAGAAGTGAAATTCAGGGCTACTAGTAAGAATACACTAGCACCTTTATTCTTTTGCAGAGTAATAATATTTTATGGCACTAACAAGTTCAGAATTGAATGCCCAAAGCTCTTAAGATATCCATGATTAAATGAAGGATCAGAAGGTCTGGCTCCTTATTGATGTGGATGAAGAAAACAGATTACAAAGCAGGTCATCAAGCTGCAAGACCAGGGTCCTAAGTCACAGTGTTCCTGCCTACTGATAATATCAGCTAGTTCACACACACCCCACTGCTACTGCTTAATTCAGCCCAAAAGTAAACTGTATCTGCAATCCTATTGCTGAATTCATGGCAGAAGTGAGAGAAAGAAAAAATATGTCTAAGGCAACCATTGCTTGTTATAAGCTGGGCTGATATCAGCTGGGAAATGTGATTCAAAATACAGTGACCCTAAAATTGGTAACAAAAATAAAACACTGAAGTAAATTCTAGTAAACACTTAAGACTCAGGAGGAGTGACCTTTTACAGTCAGAGATAACTGATTGTTGACAAGACCATCCTGGTAAGATTCTACCTCTCATTTGAAACTCCAGGTTTTTGCACTTCCCAACCCAACAGACAATTTCAAACACTAACCTCTGCTCCTTCACTGATCATATAAGTAACTCAATGAGATAAGCCAATGTGTGGCAGAAAGAATCTGGTAAGAAGGGCAATCTGCCCCCAAAAAGAAAGAGGACTGCAACTCTCCTCTGGACTGTAAATATGACAGACACCATAACTGACTTAATGAAAATCATATTCAAAGCAGTTTATTTCTAAAAGACTATACATAGGAGACATCAGGATATCTTTATAATATCCTTAGCCTAAAGAAAATCTAAATCTCTAAAAATATTTCAGTTTGTGTTAAATGAGGCAGAGAAATCAGGCTTTGGATGCTTGGTGCCATTTATATCAGGAAGGTATCTAGGATTGGCGGATCAAAAACCTCTGACTTACTACTACTCATTCTACTCCGTGGCCAAAAAAAGAACTTGTTCTTATTACACAGCTATGAGAGCTGATGGAAGAGACCCTTTTTGTCAGAAATTTCATTTACTTTCTCAGCTACTTTTCCTCACTGATGTGATATGTGATGGTCATATACAGAGCAAATCAAACGGTGCTGAAATTTTGCTCAGAAACATGCTATTTCTAGTGTAAATTCTGCAATGATGCTATAAAAGATGGTTCTGGAAATCTAAATTTGGTTCTTCTTTCAAAAAGGAAACAATTACATTTCAATGTGAAATCTAGGTAGTTATGAGGTCTTAATTGATAACAGATGCAATGCGCATAACTGCTTTTCCTGGAGTACAAAAGTGATATTTCTATGTGCTGCTTCTAAAATGCCTAGCAAGAGGATGCAATAGCAGCAAGAGGGACTAGATCACATATGCCTCTACAATAGGGCAAAATGTGTCAATACGCAAGTGTGCAAATTGTACAGATTAAAGCTCTTCCAGTGTCAACTGGATGGCTTGCTTCAGACAAGCTTTAATCTTTGTAGCTAGAATGACAGTCACATAGGGAGGTTCAAACTGAAAAAGTACACAGCACTCAGGCTCAGTAACTGGGGTCCAGGGTGTGTGGTAGAGAAATATTTAAAGGGACACTGTCAAGGTTAGAGGGACCAAATTTGACCTTTGTTTCTTCCCTGTTTGCTGAGCAGCCCACTGGATTCATTACACTTTCTCCCTTAGCCCACCTACACCAACCACAAAAAACCTAATGTTTTACACGCGCTTTCAATGACAAAAACTCAAATGGCACCAGCCCAACATAAAGGCGCAACTCTACAACAACAAACCAGTGTGAATGTATGATGGAGAGGATCTCTGAAAGGAAAAGATTTAGGTTTCAAGCTTTTAATGGGTATTGTAAACAGTGAGGAAAATGATTTGAAAAATTATGAAAAAAATACCTTGACAGTGTCCTTTTAACCAGTGCAGCAGAGAGAAAAATAAACTGTAAATAACAGCCCAACAGCCACGTCAAGTTTAGTTTTGTATGACAGCAATAAAATCAAGGCTTTAAACACATAGCATGACAGAAGCAGTCTGTTAGCTCAGAAGCTGCAACCACCAGAGAAATAAGGAACAGATTGTACAGAGACCAAATGGGAAAGTCAAGGCATAGAAATGGCCAAAAGAAAGGCAGTTAAAAAAGGCGAGGGAGGGTGGGGAGAGGGAAGTGTCAGAAAGTGAGGAATAAAGCAAAACTCAAAAGAGGAAAGGAAAAACACAGAACAATAACAACAACAACAACAAAATCAAACAAACAAAAACCAAACCAAAAGATTGCTGCCACATTTGACTGACACCAGATGACAGAACTGCATCTCCGGTACACCACTCTAACCCGAGGCTCAGCTGTAGTTAAGCAATTACAGGAGTGTTGCAAGTGCAACCAGGGAGAGCTTTGCAACCTGCCCTTTTCCCCACTAACATTAAAATTTCACTTTGAAATTAAAGGAAAATTTGGAAAATAATACATAAAATACTTGTCCCTTAAGATATCAACACTGACTGGGAGAAAACAAAAATGTGTTTTTAATACCCTTAAATCAGAATCATTTAAAAAACAAGCTAGTTAGAAATATTCTATTTGACATACCCAGACAATAAAAGGAACTAACAAATGACTACCCCAACAACCCCAAACTACCCATGTTTTAAGTCATTTATTTCCCCTTGATGAGAATCCTTGGATTTTATTAGTTCTACAAATAATTATATAACAGTAATAAAATGGAATTGAAATATTGGCAATTGCTAAACATAAGTCATAATAATTTAAATTTTACCTAACTATTCTAATCTAGATACTTAACTTGTATCCTGAGAAAGAAACTCAACAAATGATTACAAGGGGTTTTAAGTATTTCTACAGTGCAACAATAGTGAGAATTTCTAACAGCAAACCAAGAAGCATTTTTGGAGAACGGGCCAATAATATAAGAACCTTCTATCTAAGAAGCAAACAAAATGGATATCACTTTAAACACATTTTGATTGAATTTTTGAAGTCGTTTATTTCTATATGAGAGGCTCCAGGTAAACTGTTCCTTCAAGACTAAGAGAACTTGAAGAGTCTCATTGTTCCAAACAGGTTCAATCCTGATTGTCTTGGTTCTGTAGATTATATCACTAAGTATGTCCTGGTGAAGGAAAGCCTATGTGTCTAGCCCATGCAGAATGTGGGAAAGCTAAACAAGTTTCTGGACAAGGTCTCTGATTCTGCAAGAAGTCATCTCAAAGGAATATGGACAGCTCTCTTTAGTTCAACCTCTGGTTTCATTCTAACAATCTCTTTAGGTTTTCAAAGAATATTGTACAGCCAAGTCTTTATAAACTCTCCAGCAGCAGAGCAGAATGGAGTTAAATGAAGCAACGTACACTAGGTAAAGAAAGTTCTGAGATTTAGCCAGAGAAATCCCCAAAAAGAATCAGGAAAAAAAGCAGTAATGGCCAATTATGGCTAGTGGAGGCCATGGACAATCTCCACCTCCCCATCTCATGCCATTGAGCACTTCTAAAACTATGGTGAAGCAGAAGATTAACATTAGTTCATTTGGCAAAACCTGGAAGAAGAAATTTACTTCTGAGTAGTCTAATTCCGATTCTCAACAGCCAAGAGAAATGAGATATAGCTATTACCCCTACAGAGGTAGGGGTAATATCCTTGAATCAAATAAAATTCAATGTGATTCTAGGCTGGGCACAGTGGCTCACAACTGTAAATCCCAGCACCTTGAGGGGCTGAAGCAGGAGTATCACTTGAGCCAGATCTAAGATCAGCCTGGGCAATATAGTGAGACCCCATTTCTATAAAAAATTGTTTAAAATCAGGTATAGGAGTATGTGCCTGTGGTCCCAGCTACTCAGGAGGCTGAGATGGGAGAATCACTTTAGCCCAGGAGTGCACTCCAGCTTGGGCAACACAGCAAGATCCTCCTGTCTCCAAAAATAAAATAATCAGTGTGATTCTACAGAGACTGTTGTCTCCCCCCACTCTCAGCCCATAAGGAATCTTTTTGACTTACTTAAAGCAGTGATTAGAGTGTATAGAAAAGGTACACACAACACATCTAAGCAGTTCTTTCTAGCAGTTTTTAGCATATAGTAGAGGTGTTCAGTAAATTATTGTTAAATGAATAAATTAATAGAATTTGGAAAAACAAAGTTAGTATTATAACTATATTTAAGGGGCAAAAACTATTTGCAACTTCAGGACCATTAAAGGAAGGCATGAGATTTTTACGTTTATAAGCAAGCATGGATTGGCAGTAATGATTTTAAAGGGCAGAGAAAGACTGTCATAAAGATACTGAAGATGTTTCTTCAAAAGAGGAAAACCAAAAGGCCAACAGGCCCGTGTCAAAAGTGTACTAAGCTAAACACCACTGTTTAAGAATACAAATGAAAACTGGCTAAGTTATGATAGATACCTAATACACACATAGTTAACGGTCTTTGTAAGAGACCTGACACCCATTACTTTTCACATGCTGTCATTGTTCCTCTTAACAGCTGAGCCATTCCCAAGAAGAAAAATCAAAGCTTAGTTTCTCAAAGCAGTTATGGAACCCTTTGGATCTCACTTGGTAACCACACACACACACACACACACACACACACACACACACTCCACAGGAGACCAGAGACCTTGTGATACAGAATACTACAGCACTGTGGGAATTTCATTAAGATACCCTTTCATTACCACCCCCCTCCAAAAAAAAGTAAAGCCCTTGAGTTACTAGCTGGTGTACAGGAGATGCAGAAGACATTCAGAGCCATTTCCACCACCTCTCTCACCAACTGTGTTTTCAGTTCCCTCAGCAGAGACCTACAAAATGTTCCCTGAAATGTGAGTTATTCTATTTCCCAACCTTCTCCATGTCCAGTTAAAGCGGCTACTGATTATAGCATAGGTCAGGTATAATTCCATCACCAATCAACTGAAGGCAGCTGCTATACTAGCTCTGATTGTTTTGTAGGCTTAAGGAGTGGAGATCCCTTCTACTTAGAGGGATACGCTTAATATTCCTATATTATTTTATATCTCTATATTATATCCCTAATATTAATATCTTTACTAGGGAAGCTCTTATTCTAGTCATTCAAAGCCATGACATAAACTTCCCTTGTCAAAAACAAACACAGAAACTCAATACACTAATTACAAATGTAGGAGAGAGAACAGAGAAGTAAACTTTTTGAGGGATTCTTGTGATTTGTGATTAAAACAACACAAAATAAAAATTACTTGCTACATGATTTCTTTTCCTACAGCAACAGTATCTGGGTATAGAGATATGTCCTTAAGACACTATTACAAGTGATATAACTATGAGTAACTTTCTGGCCTTCTACAGGATGACATCATTAATTTCTATATACTAACAACAGAACCAATTACTCCTTTTTTGACTGAAGTTGTCCACGAAGCACAAAGAAACAGAACCCCATTTCATCCAACAGTTTACTAAAGAAAAATCAAAGACTGAATGAATTCTTACTTTACGTGGGCCTTGCTGGCTCCTAGGGTAACTACTGAAAGAAAGCACTCAGATGAGACTCAGCTGATGTGCATTCACCCCACCCCCAACTTCCTTGAAATGTCAGCCAGGCACAGTCAAACAAGTATGGGAATCTGAACCAGAACTTCAGGCAATGGATTCTGGTTAACCTTAGGCAAACACATATGTGAGCTTTAGTTTCTTCTCCTGCAATAAGAGAATAAAGCTACTGACTTATCTCTTTAGATTTCTAAAGCCATGAAATGTATTTGTAATTATAAGCATAAGTTGTGGGACTCTTTGTGCTTGTCCTATAAACTTGTTCAAAAGCTAGTTTAGGCTGGGCACAGTGGCTCACGCTGGTCCTAGCACTTTGGGAGGCTGAGGCAGGTGGATCACCTGAGGTCAGGAGTTCGAGACCAGCCTGGCCAACATGGCCATCTTTACTAAAAATGCAAAAAAAAACCGCCAGGTGTGGTGGTGCATGCCTGTAATCTCAGCTACTTGGGAGACTGAGGCAGGACAATCGTTTGAGGCCAGGAGACAGAGGTTGCAGTGGGCCAAGATTGTGCCACTGCATGCCAGCCTGGGTGACAGAGCAAGACTCTCTCAAAAAAAAGCTAGTTTACTAGTTAATGGTTGTTCATTCTTACTCTGAGATAGACTACTGGAGACCGCAGTACAGAAACATTAGCATGCCTTATGTTTGATTAACTAAGGCAAGCCTAACTCAAAGCTGCAAAGAATCCATTCCCAAATTTGAGAATGCTTTAAAATCTTAACACTTGGTTACTACACCAAATACAAATGTATCAACTTATATAGATCAGAGCTGAATGACAACTATCAATTTCATGGGGAAAAATATCCCTGCATTTGAAATGCTGAAAACCACACAGAAGGTTAACAACTGTTTACAGTGCTACTCAAAGGATTGGTCCTGGTGAGATATGGATAAATCAGTGCACCGCTTTCTTCACTAAAAGTTTTGCTACTAGGAAAAAAAAAGTTACCATCTGAATTAATAGTGTGGTTAGTGGTGTAATTTGTTTTAATCTCATCCCACACTGGTAACCAACAGTTAGTTCACAGACTAGCAGCCAGTGCATGCCCACCTGAGGACAGTAGTGGTATGGAAACAAATGTTTTAAAAAACGCGCTAAAGCTTATCTAATACCAAAAAAGCAGACCTTTCTCTGTATAGCTCTACTAGAAAAAAAGTTTTCTCTTTACTGTTAGAAAGACTTAATGAACCTGCTCTACATTCAGGGAAGTCTAAAGAAAAAGATGGTGTCTCAATGATCAGTGATTAATCTTTACTGTGGACTCTATCACTTCTTGAGGACAATACTAGCCACTCTGGAGCCTTGCTTCCCCTCACCTCAATTCTGTACTTATTGCCTACTATTAATATTATACTTAAAACACTGATTTAATCATGTCACATCCCCTGTTCTCAAACCTCTCAAGTTCCAACCTACAATCAAGCCTAGCAAGCAACATTCTCCACAACATGGCCCCACCCTAAACTTTCTATCTTCCTATCCTCACTGGTAGTAATCCCATCCTCCTTTACAGATTTCTCTGCTTTGACTTAAACCTCCTCTGCCTGCAATGCTTTTCCCTTCCATAAACACATGTTCAAGTCCTGGATCTGCCATTCACAAATGATAGCCTTCCCTCCAAATCTTACTGCCCTTTCCCTCACATCTTCATATACCCTCTTGCCACCTTGGTTCTTCCACAGTAATTTGTTCTTCTATCTAATCCTTGGGTTGACTTTGTGTTACTGGTATTTATATATTTATGGGTGATATGTTTGTGATTTGCCTTAAAATACTCCAGACTTCCCTGGACTCAAAGATGCAGGAATGGGACAGATAAAACAAAACTGGGAAAACAGAGGTTCACTATTAGTACTCTTTCTACTTCTGTCCATGTTTTTAAATTTCCATAATAAAAAGTTGGGAAAAAAGAATTATTTCTGTACAAGTACCACTATAGCAGGAACTAGCTTATTCATCTCTACATCCCTTACAGGTTTGGTAGAGTAAGAGAAGTTTACTCAATTGTTGAGTTAATCTCTACTTCACCCTTTCTCTCTCATTTTGTTCAGTTTTTTCTGCAAGAAGCCTCCTGTTACCTACCCCACCCAGGCCCTGGTGGGAAATTTGGACCAGGATGGTGGGGATGGAAACCAAAGCATTCCCTAAGAGTCTGTCCTTCTCTGATATGAACCCCATAAAGCCTTAAGGTAGACAGGAATAAGTGAGGATGTTCCTTGAGACCTATCACAAAATTCAAGAGCTAGGCTCCAACCAATTTTAGTAACAATAGCTAAACCCACCATACACATAAGAAATCTCCCCTGCCCTCAAATAGAAAGACAATACGTACTTATGTCCTAAGAAGTGTGGGCTCTCATCTTGATAAAGGGAGTCAGTAAAATTTTTGCTAAATACAAACTTTGAATTTCACTCCTAAAAAAATTAGGACCGACTTATGTAATCGAAGCCTATTTTACAGTCATTAAACTGTGCCACTCCCCTTACCATTCATCACTTCCATGCTACTGTCATAGTAAGTATATGAAGCTCCTATGACTCTGGTCAACAAATACTTTAGTTTATCTAAGCATCTGGGTAAGTACCATTTGGCTATTAGCCCATCAAAAATTTTAGCCTATAAACATAAAACTGAAGTCATAAAGAACACATGGAGCTAAAGCACATGATGGAAGGCACAATACAAACAAAACGAAGGATCAGGCTTCAATTCTACAAGTCCCTTGGAGTAGTAGGGTGGCCATAGCCAAATAAAAAGTTAACTGTCTAGGTAGCCTTCACTAAATATCTAAAGATATATGTTAAATAGACATGTAAATGTATATACAATAATCCCTTCCTACACAGCTCAGAGTTAAGAAACAACCAGAATAATGTTACATCATCTCTACCCTTAGATTACATATATACACTTATGTAGGTGTATATATGTATATGTGTATATATCATCCATACCATTCTCCTAAAATTGTTTTCAACTGAACCAAAGAAATGTTGAAAAATTCTGTTTGTCCTTGACTTACAGCTTGTCCGTTTGCTTCATAAAGTGGGCATTTTTGCTTGATCTTGGCCAGTTCCATATTTACTTGTTTGCTGACAACAGCCATAGGATTCCCTCCTAGAAAAAACTCAAAGCAATTAAATTCAATAGGCCTATGAAAAGAGAACGAAAACCTCAAAGTAAAAAATATTTTTACTCAAAATAAGAAATGCTCAAAAGCTTACAGTATGTAAATTTCTCAAAAAAAAGCACTCCAAGTAAAAATATGTAAGATAAATATGAAGAATGCAAAAAAATTTACCTATAATCCTACTAACATTTTATTACAGATCCTTCTAGATTTTAAGTGTATAAAATTATAGACACACATAAAAGGATCATAATGTATTATTTTATAATCTATTTTCCAACAGCAATATACTGTGGACATCATTTTACATTAATATGAAGCTACATGATTTTTAGTGGCTGCATATTTCTCATTGTATAATATTCTAATTTTCTCATCTGTAGATTCTAATGCTCTGCTATCAAAAACAATGCCAGGGCTGGGCAAGCTGGCTAATGCTCACGACCTCAACATTCTGGAAGGCTAAGGAAGAAGGAACTCTTGAGGCCAGGAGTTTGACACCAGCCTGGGCAACAGCGCAAGACCGTTTCTATTAAAAACAAACAAGGCCAGGTGTTGTGGCTCATAAAGCTACTGACCTACCTCTTCAGATTTCTAAAGCCATGAAAGGTATTTGTAATTATAAGCACAAATTAGTGGGGCTCTTTGTACTTGTCCTATAAGCTCGTTCAGTGGCTCACACTGGTAATCCTAGCACTTTGGGAGGCCAAGGTGGGTGGATCACCTGAGGTCAAGAGTTCGAACCCAGTGCTGTAATCTCAGTGCTTTGAAAAGACTTCTTGAGTCCAGGAATTCAGATCAGCCTGGTAATATAATGAGACCTCATCTCTACAAAAAAATTAAAATTAACCAAGCATGGTGGTACATGCCTGTACTCCAAGCTACTAAGGAGGCTGAGGTGAGAGGATCACTTGAGCATGGAAGGCAAAGGTTGCAGTGAGCCAAGATCATGCCACTGCAATCCAGCCTGGGCAAAAGAGTGAGACCATGTCTCAAAACAAACAAAAACAATGCCATATTAAAAATGCTTCCAATGCAACATTATCTACTTATCTCCTTAGAATAATTTCATGGAACTAGAGAAAGACACTGTAGGTCAAAAGATATGTAAAATTTACATTTTACACATACTGCTATATCCTTTCAGGAAGACTATTTGGCAGTTTACCTCTCACTAACAGAAGACGACTATCCTAAACCAATATACTTTAAAATTGCATCTCTGGCTTTAAAATTTTTTTGTCTCAGACCAGTACTATAGCACAAACCAGTAGCTACTTACCAAGACCTGTGACCACCATGGCTCCAAGATCAGCTACATAGTTTCCTTTGCGAAACGTAGCAACTCGTCCACCCACACGATCCTGTTTCAGAAATTAAATAGCCAAAATCATCAATTCTGTTTTAACCACAAACCTGCATTTTGTGTACATACCATAGCTCTGTCTTCTATAATTTAAAAATAAAGATGGGCACAAAGAACAAATGAAGTTCAACTTGAAGACTATTTGAAAGAGAAGCAGGTAACAAATGACATGTAATTAAATGTCACATAACTAAATGACACATAATTAAATGATGTGATATAAAACAATTTGACAGTTGGAAGATATATTCAGCCACAAGTACCTCTCTACCCAGCTGCCTATAATACCATTTAATTTACAGGATGAACGAGTGCCAACCACATAGACCAACACTATTTAAATACCAACTTTTCACCACTGTAATCTGACTCTTACACCCTGATCCCCAAAGTTAGCTGGAAAAAATTTGATGGATAATTTTTCTAACAAATGGTTCTCCAGTGCAGCCCCATGCCCAGGGGCAGAGAGTCTACTGAACATAGCCTGTTCACCATACCTTTCATCCCTGAATAGGACCAGGTTTATCACTGCTGACCAGGGATTTTCAAGTATGGCTGAGATGTAGCAATAATTTAATGATTATAAATAATATAATAGTACTCTGGGAACTCCAAACAAAAATGCAGAACAAAACAAAAATGTATACTCTAGATTATAAACTCCTCATGGGTAGGAATCATAATGGTCTTATTATTCCTTATTGTATTTTTTAGTACAAACTATACAAAGTGCACAAAAATCTTTTCTGAATATTTTAATAACAGTATATCAAGAAAATATTTAATTTCAATTTTCCCATACTCTTTTAAAAAATTAGCAGTTTAAAGCCATTAGAAGATAATTAGATTTCAAAAATTATTCATGAAAATAGCTTGAATAGTAGCATCCTAATATGATGGTCTTTTTCCTACTGTGTGCCATTATCTCTTATTGCTCCTTCTGTTTCCATTTCTCTCTCCAGGACTAACAGAAAAGAACCAATATCTTGGCTTCTAAAAATGGTTCTTGCGAACCAACTTTTTTTCTTTATCAAAAATAGGGAATTCACTCTCTGTTCCATCACCAAAAACAACTGCCTCCTAACAAAGGATATGCCCATGAAGGCCCCAAATTTGAGAGCTAACTACAAGAAACAATGACTTAAAAATATTAGTCAAGAAAACAAATACTCTAAAACCCTACTCACAGAGTACTTTTCAAAGCATTACTATAAAAAATACTTTTTCAAAAACTATAACACTATCCAAAATACTATTATACAAATCAATTTGGCTTAGTTCAAGTTGTATAATCCTTAATTTGCAACAGATAATTTCCTTACCATATTTCCATTAGTTCAAGACTCTAAACTCAAAATGAAATTCTTACCCTGGCTTCCAAAAGTGTGACATCCATTCCAAAACTTTGTAATTGTCGAGCTGCTGCCAAGCCTGAGACCCCAGAGCCTATAATAATTACCTTTCCTGTCTTTTTAGCTAAAAGCAAAAAATGAAAATAATAATATTTTGTTGTAGGCATAAAAGTTTATATTTAGAGTCTTATTTCATGAAAACCTCTAGTTTCTTAACATATTATAATATCCTAACAAAGTAAATAATTCAGAGAGTTACTTTCAAAATATGGTAACTACTTGAAAACAAATTAACAAATATATGAAACTTAAGAACTCAAATTCAATGTCGAACATTTATAAATCAATTCCATTATCTTAACATTTATTTTCTCATTACCTCAGGGATGTGTTTTAGTATCTGAGAATCTGCTTCATTTACTTCGTAATTATATTAGGACACATTCTGCATATAAGCTCTTTCCTTTAACCTCTACCCTTGTAGTCATTAGTATCTCTTTTTGAAAAAAATGATTATTTTTTTAAAAAAGCAACTATTAGCATAAAGAATGGGTCAATGAGAGAAAAACCTCAAATCTACTTGCAAAATGAACTCCTCTCATTTTAAACAAATTTTATGGTTTTATTCTGTTTTTTAAATTGGAAATCCAGTAACTTTTTCTTAGTAGCTATCAAACTAGAAATTAAGGGGAATGCACATTAAGAGATTTTATTTTCAACTTGACTTACAAGAAGATAAACTTGGAAATATTTTTAAATATAGACTTACAAATCAATATAAAATGCTAACATCGTCATAGATATAAAAATACAGTCCTGAAACCATAACTTAAAAAGGTAAAATTTATTAGACTGGTAGGAGGTCCTTACTTGGTAGGGGTTTTATCCTTTTATAGATGCCAAAGTTGATAAGACCATGACGCTCCAAATAACTGTGAACTCGGTGGACAAGTACAGTATCACCTACAGAATAAGTGGATTAAAAATATGGTTTTATTTTCAGCAGTTTAAACAATATTCTTATTCTTCCATTTCCCCATCATCAAGTCCTTAAAAACATCTTTTCCCAGCCAGCGTAGTAGCTAATGCCTGTAATCTCAGCACTTTGGGAGGCCGAGGCAGGTGGACTGCCTGAGCTCAGAAGTCTGTAAACAGCCTAAGCAACATGGTGAAACCCGCCTCTACTAAAAAAAAATACAAAATATTAGTTGGGCGTGGCAGCATGTGCCTGTAGTCCCAGCTACTTGGGAGCCTGGGGCAAGTGAATTGCTTAAACCCAGGAGGCGGAGGTTGCAGTGAGCTGAGATCACACCCCAACCTGGGCAACAGAGCAAGACCCCATCTAAAAAAAAATAAAACCTTTCCATTAAGCTTTAGGTTATATGACTCCTCTAAAAAAGTAATTCTAAGGCTGGGGGTGGTGGCTCATACACGTAATCCTAGTGGCTTTGGGAGACTGAAGTGAGAGGATCAGTTGAGGCCAGGAGTTTAAGACCAGCCTGGACAACACAGCAAGACTCTGTCTCTACAAAAAACAAAAAATTAGCCAGGCATGACATTACATGCCCATAGTCCTAGTTACTCGGGGGGCAGAGGAAGGAGGATCGCCTGAGCCTAGGAGTTCTAGGCTACAGGGAGCTATGATTGTACCACTGCACTCTAGCCTGGGCCATAAAGTGAGATCAGGTCTCAAATAAATAAACGAATGGATGAATGAATGAATGTGATTCTTGGCCAAGTGCCGTGGCTCACGTCTATAATCCAGCACTTTGGGAGGCGAGGCAGGCAGATTGCTTGACCTCTGGAGTTCCAGACCAGCCTAGGCAACACAGTGAGACCTTGTCTCTACCAAAAATTTTTAAAACCAGCTGGGCATGGTAGCTGAGGTGGAAGGATCACTTGAGCCTGTGAACACACCACTGCACTCCAGCCTGGGCAAGAGAGGGAGACCCTGTCAATCAATCAATCAATTAATCAATCAATGTAATTCTTAGAACTATTAGTCTGTGAAACAGGCCAAAATGTATAACACATAATTTGGAATTGTATTGATTTAATTTTTAGTTTTTTTGAGAGACAAGCGTCTCACTGTGTCATCCAGGCTGAACTCAAACTCCTGGGTTCAAGGAATCCTCCCACCTCAGCCTCCTGAGTAGGTGGGACTATAGGTGTACATCACTGTGTCTGTCTAATTTAGAATTTTAAAGAATTTCACACCACCACAGATGGAATGAGAATAAAACCAAACCTTCACAAAGTAGTTGTAACAGTCATTTACTTTGGCAAAAACATCACAAGACATTATTGGTGCTAAGTGGGAAAAAGAAAACCAGATAGGAAGCCAATGAAGTGCTAAAGTATTCCATGGATCAAAGTATTCCATGGTCTAGGAAGAGTACTTAGCAATCTCTTGAACTCATCTGTTAACACAATTTCAAGAGCAGAAAATGAATAAAAACATAGAAAGCAGGTTTTCTATAAAACTTATTTTTGCACAGCACAAGGTGAAACAAAATGGAAATATGAATGAAAAAATTAATTATCAAGGAACCATTAGGCTCCTAGAAGAACATATCAACACTCACAATCCAGTACAAAACTAGTCCTACTGAACACACTACTTACTGTTATAAGGTGCTTCTAATTGTTGGAGAGTAGCCTCAAATGTCAGTTGAATCTTTGGATTATCCAACCACAACTGCAACTGCATTTAAATGACATAAATTGTATTACATACAAATAGACATATGCCATTTGACCATCTTTAAAATCATCTTTTGGTTGATTGCAGTGGCTGACACCTATAATCCCAGCAGTTTGGGAGGCTGAGGCAGAAGGATCACTTGAGCCCAGGAGTTCGAGACCAGCTTGGGCAATATATTGAGACCTAATTTCCACTAAAAATATAAAAATTGGTTGGGTGTGGTGGCACATGCCTATAGTCCCAGCTACTTAGGAGGCTAAGGCGGAAGGATTGCCTGAGCCCAGGACATCAAGGCTGCAGTTAGCCATGATCGTACCATTGTTCTCCAGCCTGGACAACAGAGCAAGAGCCTGTCTCAGAAAGCAAAAATAAATAAAATCATCCTTTTAACTTTAAGGCCCCAGACATGGGCTTCCCTTTAATTAAAAGAGTGAGGTTATACTCCTGACAAAGAAACTGATGAAACACAAAACCATATCAAATAAGTAAATTACTGAGGAAGCTGGGGTTACTTATCCTAAAAGAGAAAACCACCTAGTAACTTGCCAAGTCCATACCGCTAGCAAGGAGCAACTAGCATTTAAACCTGGGTTATATGACTCCAGAGATACTAAGTAGATCAAATCCACAAAATCTAATGATCAACTAGATATGTTGAGGTTGGGGAGAAAGGTGTCAAGGACAGCGCCTCCATTTCGGTACAATTAAGCGAGTTGGTATGCCAGACACTGAATGGAATTACTGAAAGAAGAAATAAGATAATGAGTTTAGCTCCAAGACAACAAGAAGAGATATAAAACAGCTGGATATAAAGCCTGGAGCTCAGAAGAGAGAAAAGGTCTGGAGTCATCTGCTTATGGTAGTAACTGAAGTCAAATGCATTGAAAAGGTTTCCTAGAGGAGAAAAAAATGGCGAGAGGAGAACCAACTCCCAAATAGTTCCGGTTATGGCCAATTGTTAGGGATCATCCTACAAAGCAATCAGAGAAGACAACCAGGGAGGCAGGAGAAAAACCAGAATACTGAGTTATCGAATCCAAGAAAGTACTGTGTTTAAGAAGAAAGGGGCAGTCAGTTATTTCAAATATTGCTGGAAAAAAACAGTAAGATGAGGAATAAAAAAAACTATGGTACAATCAATGGGCTCTAAAATGAATCCTCTTCAAAGTGAATACATACTTGCAAAATGCAAGACAAACTAAATACAACTACCATATTTAAATCTTTTTCTTTCTTTTTTTTTTTTAAGACAGAGTTTTGCTCTTGTTGCCCAGGCAAGTCATGCAGTGGCACGATCTTGGCTCACTGCAACCTCTGCCACCCGGGTTCAAGCAATTCTCCTGCCTCAGCCTCCTGAGTAGCTGGGACTACAGGTGCCTGCCGTCACGCCTGGCTAATTTTTGTACTTTTTAAAAAATAGAGATGGGGTTTTGGCATGTTGGCCAGGCTGGTCTCGAACTCCTGACCTCAGGTGATCTACCCACCTTGGCCTCCCAAAGTGCTGGGATTACAGGGGTTAGCTACTGTGCTGGGTCATATTTAAGTCTTAGCTAAAAATTATTAAAGACTACTCCATAAGACAACTTTCAACCAAGAAGAAATTAATTTGGCTATATGTAAATAAACCAAATTACTAAGGGTTATGAACAAATCCACACAGATACTCTACTCTGTGGCCACCATAAAGTAAATCGATTTCCTCAAGTGTACACTGAGCCCAAGTTCCTCACTCCCAACACAAGTCTTCCTTCTCCTCCTATAAAATAATGCTTAGGTCACAGTCTCGTTCAATAATCCTAAAGTTGCAATTTTAAAGTACTACAGTTTAAGACTAGAATATTGGTAAAATTCTTGCAGCAGAGCTTGATTTATGTTCTGTTTCACAGCCAGAGACCACAAATCTAACATGGGGCAACCCTTCCCCAAATCTGGAGTTTTGGTGAATCAGAGATGACAGAGATAAATCCGCTGCTCAAATCTAAGTAAAAAGTGAAAACTCCCTTTAGATAAAACAAACAAAAAACCCTCAACAATTTTGCCCCCCACAAAAAAAATCCACTTAGAGCAAATGTTGATATGCTACACAAAGAAACTGATTCAATTATAAGACAAATCAGCCTTAGACTACGCACTAAGAATTTTCTGTTCATTTTTTAAAGCACTCATCATCTTTTCTTCACTGTCTTTTCTGTTTTACAAAAACCCAGGATAATCAATTGCTCTAGCTAAATACATTTAACAATCCAAATTTAGCAGTGGTTTTGCAATCCAAAAGCCAAAATAAAGAAACTGGTGGTAGCTAAAAATCAGACATATCCATGACCTCTCTGAGCTATATTCATATTTAAATTATCTGACTCACGAGGTAAATTTCTTCTGCTTTGTATCACCCTAGAGTAACATGAATATGTTCTGAATAGCACTTTTCCCTCATCTACATACTCTATGGCTAAATAAGAATTCCTGATGAATAAAGGATATGAAAGAAAAATTTACAGAAGATATATAAATTACTAATGTGAAAAAGCAGTCAGTCTCAGGAGTAATCCAAGATACGAAAAAGAACTGAGATGGATTGGGTTCATTATAGTAGCATAGATTATCACTGTTTTAATAAAAATGGCAGAGCAGTGGGGCTGTTGACTGGTTCAGCCTTTCTGGGAAGCAATCTGGCAATACGTACCAAAACTTTTAAAAAGTGTTCGTAACCCTTTGACAAGGTAGTTTTCCTTCTAGAACGCTATCATAAGGAAATAATAACCATAGGTAGAAGACTGTCCAGAGTTAATTATAATGAAGCAAAATTGGCCACAAATGTCCAGCAGTTAAATTATAACACAACTGTCAGACAAAATATTATGCAGATACTGAAGTTAAATCATTCAGTCAGAGGAAGAAGTTGAACAAGATGAGCAGAACAGGGTAAGGATTTCTCTTACCTTGAGTGGGAAGGACAAAGCGATTTTTAAAAACATTTTTTAATGCTTAAATAAAGCTTTTTTTGTGTGTTTTCTTTCTTTCTTTCTTTTTTTAGTGACGGAGTCTCACTTGGTTGCCTAGGCTGGAGTGCAGTGGCACCATCTTGGCTTACTGTAACCTCCACCTCCTGGGTTCAAGCAATTCTCCAGCCTCAGCCTCCTGAGTAGCAGGGATTACAGGTGGCCGCCACCATGCCTGGCTAACTATTGTATTTTTAATAAAGACAGGGTTTCACCATACTGGTCAGGGTGGTCGCAAACCCCTGACCTTAGGTGATCCGCCTGCCTCGGCCACCCAAAGTGCTGGGAATACAGGTGTGAGCCACTGTGCCTGGCCTAAATAAATATTCTTGATGTGTATTTATGAATATAGTATGTATTTATGTTGTATTTATGCTGTAAAGTATAAAAGGGATCCAAAAGAATGTATCCAAGAAGGATCTCAATTTTATGAAAACAAAAATTATATATACATTTTTTTAAATACCCAAAGGGAAAATAACTATTAACAATGGTTGTCTATGGGTAATAGTATTACAGACAATTTAAAAAGTCTTCCTTCCTTTTCTGTTTTTCCCATATTCTCTATCAAAGTCATATGTATTTGTTATAATCCAGGTGAAAAACTTGACATGGAAACTTACCGTGCGGTTTCTAATGAACAGAAAAACTTTCTGGGTCTGCTGTGGTCCACTGATAATATCTGGAAAACAGGCTGCTTCCTGAGAAGTCATCCGGTCATGAGGAAGTCGGCTCTGGAAAGCTGCTCCCTCCACACCTAACGAAGAAAGCAAAGGACATCCAGAAAACGTGCAAGTGAATACAAAACAGGGGTAGTAATAATGCTCAAACTCCTTTGCCTCATTCACAGACTGATCTTTTTAAAAACTTCTCAATTGTCTCAATAGCTGAAACTTCCTTAGTTATTAGCCACCTGTATGAGCTTAACATTCCAAAGTTTATTGTTTACTGAAACAATATACCTTATAAGAAAAGGCATTTAGAATAGTTTCTTCATCCATAAAATAATTTTATTATATTAGATGATCTAATTAAATTAGCACTACTGACACAATAAAATTTAAAACTAAAGAGCCAGAATAAAGGAAAATGCACTAACAAGAAAGTGAAAAAAAGAAGCCGTGGAGTGAAAGGCACAATCCCATGCCTTCTTTTAGAATTATAGCACAAAACAGAAAGATGACTCTGGGGTTTAATAATCAACAGCAGAAAACCACAATCCCATCAATAGTATCATCCATTAGTAATCATAATTCAACGCTGGCAAGCAGTGAGAGAAATTAAGCAGACAACAATAAGAAGAATGCAAGGAATTTATCTTTTCTGACAGAAACATTAGAAATGCTTTACTATATACAAGTAAAATATTACTATATATACTACATAACATATGCATATAGTGTATACATACACTATCCACTGCAAGTAAAATATGTTATTTTCTTTTTTATTTTGAGACAGAATTTCGTTCTTTTCCCCCAGGCTGGAGTATAGTGATGCAATCTCAGCTCACTGCAACCTCACAAGCAACCTCTGCTTCCAGTTTCAAGCGATTCCCCTGCCTCAGCCTCCTGAGTAGCTGGGATTACAGGCGCCCACCAACACACCTGGCTAATTTTTTTTTTGTATTTTTAGTAGAGATGGGGTTTCACCACATTGGCTAGGCTCGTCTCGAACTCCTGACCTCAGGTGACCCACCCACCTCGACCTCCCAAAAATATGTCATTTTCAAACTTTTAATTAATTGGGTATTGTCTTGATAGTTTTATAAATTGGTAGGTAAGTACAACTTTATAAGGTAATCTTAAACACAAGCACAGGGCCGGGCGGAGTGGCTCACACCTGTAATCCCAGCAGTTTGGGAGGCTAAGGCAGGCAGATCACGAGGTCAGAATATCGAGACCATCCTGGCCAACATGGTGAAACCCCAACTCTACTAAAATATTAAAAATTAACTGGGCGTGCTGGCACGCACCTATAGTCCCAGCTGCTTGGGAGGCTGAAGCGGGAGAATCGCTTAAACCCAGGAGGCAGAGATTGCACTGCACTGAGATCATGCCACTACACTCCACCCTGGCAACACAGCAAGATTGTCTCAAAAAAAAAAAAAAAAAAACCAAGCACAGTAAATGCAAATGTATTTATAAGATCACCTTATAGATGTACTTATCCACCAGCTTATACAACTATCAAGACTCAATTTAAAGAGTTGCAAAATTCCATACCATTTAAATAATTATATGTAAATAACAAAATAGGCACCAGATATCCATATATAATCTTTTTCTTTTTTTTTGAGAGGGATTTTCATTCTGTTGCCCAGGCTGGAGTGCAGTGGCACAATCTCGGCTCACTGCAACCTTTGCTTCCCAGGTTCAAGGAATTCCTCTGCCTCAGCCTCCCGAGTAGCTGGGACTATAGGTGTATGCCTGGCTATTTCTTTTTTGTAGAGATGGGGTTTCCCCATGTTGGCCAGGCTGGTCTTGAACTCCTGGCCTCAAGTGATTCACCCGCTTTGGCCTCCCAAAGTGCTGGGATTACAGACATAAGCCACCATACTCAGACCATATATAATCATTTAAAGCACATAAAACAAGAAGTTGGAAGCACTGATAATGAAAGCAAAACTAACACAAAGGCATTATTAGTAAGATTAAGAGAGTAAAAAAAAGGCAGGTAAAGATGTAATTCAGAAAAGTATAGCTAAGCTATTAAGGAGTCTTTTTCAGAGACATTCTAATGGCAAACACTACCTAGAAAAAAATCACGTTTAACAAGTGGTCAAGCAAAAATGCCTAATGCTAATTATGGGCCACACATTAAGAAATACTATTCTTAGAGACAAAGAGAAAAAGCTATCCATCCTCTGTAGATAATGAGGGCATAAACACTGTGTCTCATGTTACTAAATCAACAATTCTTACAATTAATCCATACCTAAAATTAAAGACTGTCAGAACAATTTATTCCTTAGGCAAAACAAAAAAAGTAAAAGCCATATTGTAGGTGGAACATGAAATTAAGGCAAGAAAAGAAGAAATGCTTACTACTGTGGATACAGTTTACTTCAGTAAAGTGAAATTTTCTAAAACTATATGGCTTTGATGTCCCCAGCCCCCATTCCCAAATCAAAATAAATAAAAATTGAAAACAAAAAAGCAAGACCAAAAATATCTCACATTTTAAGGAACTTATCTACAGATTAATCCTGAGTATCTGAACTAAATATCTCTAAATAGGTTACTTCTTGGTATAATTCTTAAGTGTATACTATTAACATGAAAATCAATGATCTTTATTAAATTCCACTTCTCCCTGTCAAAAATGGGAGTTTTCTTTCTTAGCTATATTATCTTCCACACATTTAGTAAGTAGTCATTAAACATCCTACTGCAAAATACTATTTTTCAGTAACAGAAAAATCACATAAGAGAAAATACCAAATTTTATAGTACATCTGGTTTCTTCCTTACTGCAGATATTCTTTTTTGTGGGGGTGATACAGGGTCTCCCTCTGTTACCCAGGCTCCTGGAGCGCAGTGGTGCCATCTTGCACTGCAACCTTCGACTTCTGAGCTCAAGTAGCTAGGCTGCCTCAGTCTCCCAAGTAGCTGGGACTATAGGTGCAAGATAATATGCCCAACTAATTTTTTTATATTTTGCAGAGATGGGGTTTCACTATGTTGCCCAGGCTGGTCTCAAACTCTTGAGCTCAAGCAATACACCATCTTGGCCTCCCAAAGTGCTGGGATTACAGGTATGAGACACTGCACCTGGCCTCAGATTTTTTTTGTTGTTTTATTATTTTTTTGAGACGGGGTCTTGCTCTATCACCCAGGCTGGAGTGCACTGGCATGGTCTCGGCTCACTGCAACCTCTGCCTCCCGAGTTCAAGCAATTCTCCTGCCTCAGCCTTCCAAGTAGCTAGGATTACAGGTGTGTGCCACCACGCCAGGCTAATTTTTGTATGTTTAGTAGAGACGAGATTTCACCATGGTGGCCAGGCTGGTCTCAAACTCCTGACCTCAGGTGATCTGCCCACGTGCCTCCCAAAGTGCTGGGATTACAGGCGTAAGCCACTGTGCCCGGCTCTCAGATGTTCTTATCAAAAAATCACTCTAATGTAGTTGGCTAATTTGGGGAATTTTTGAGAACATGCAATGATTTAAAAATGTTATTTATATGTCAGCAGTTTCAAGGTATCTCTAAATCAGACATCAGAAGTTTAAACAAAGGCATTTAAAGAAACTAAACGTGGTGACACTAATGTATGCTTGGAATAATACTCTTCTCCATGTCTGTCTTCGAAATAGCATCTTAAAAAACTAGCTATTCTCAATACTCTGATATCATTTTTAAAAATGAAAAATGGTCTCTAAAAACTCTCAATAATTATTTCCTTCCCTTTGATTTTTAGTGATACTTATTTTAAGGAATGAAGATCATTATCAAAACCAGCTTCAAAAGCCTGCAAGATAAAAAGCTAAACTTTTCTTAAAGAAACAAAATGTATGTTAATTTGTAACCTAAACTGTTGAGAAGCTAAATCAAAACATCCTTCCTTTTTTTTTTTTTAAACATTATCAGTCTCCATAGAGACTGTCAAAAATTGCCAGTGCCAGCTGTATTGCAAGTCATCACGGCGGGGTACAGTGAAAAGTTTTCAATTAGCAATAATCGCTCCTCAGATAATAATCTGAGCAATAATCGCTCCTCATTGGTACAGTGAAAAGTTTTCAATTAGCAATAATCGCTCCTCAGATAATAATCTGAGCAATAATCATAGCAATGATTAGCAATAATTGCTCCTCATTGGCTATGATACTGCCACTGCACAAAGCTCAAAACATCCTTCTTATAGGACAGTACCAATGAAGTAATAGACACCACTTTGGATAATCTAACTCATGAGTACCTATCTCTTTCAGAAGAAAAACCTTTTAGAATACAAATGATTTTAATAACATCCTAAAAGTACCAACAGTACACATAATTCAGAAGTAATTTACACTTGGCTCTGATAGTTGTGTACTTTGGTGTTTGTGTTTTCCATTAAGTAAAGGAGTCTGGTTTTCTGAAAATTTAGAATGTTTCCAAAATATTGTCTTTGAAACATTCTAAAATTATTAAAAAGCTCCAAGGTTGCCTATATACCAGGTTGGTCTTCTGTTCAATTTGTTCCTGCTCACCACCTTTATACAGGAAATCCCAGCATCACCTTTCAGAATGTAGTCACGCTAAAGCAGAACTGCCCTTTCTAATGGTCTGACTGGCTTCTACTTTCTCTGAAAACATAGTAAATGTAGTTAAATATTTGAAGGAATAATTTAGACTTTTTTTTTTTTGGGTAAAGACAGGGTTTCACCATGTTGGCCAGGGTGGTCTCGAACTCCTGACCTCATGATCCACCTGCCTCAGCCTCCCAAAGTGCTGGGATTACAGACGTGAGCCACCGCGCCCGGCCAATTTAGACCTTTTGAAGTAGGTTAATTAGAAGGAGAAAAAGTGGGAGAGGCAAGTGAGATGACAGGTCTTCTATTCTATTAAATAATTTCCTCCTGATTCTGGTACAATGTAGGCAGCATCTTGATAGCAGTTAGGTAATAGAGATATAAAAATTAACAAAGAAAAGAAGGCCTCCATGAGAGTTACTTGCCTTTGATTTTTAAATCAAGTACATAACTATAACTAGATTTCTAGCGTGAAAACAAAAGCCTGATGCAATCTACATATTAAAGACTTTATTTTAAAGGATTCTAAGGGTATAAGGAATAGCCTTTGCACTAAGCAGCAAGATCCCTGGGTTTTCCTTCTCCAGAACTGCTGGTGCATTGTTGGTCAATTTATTTAATTCTTTGTGTTTCAGATCCTAATCCATAAAATAGGGGAGATACAATACTGTTTGAAGGCAGGAAGTGAGACAAGATGACCTCAAGTTCTCTTCTAGCTCTAAGATTTAGGATGTGTACACCAACTTGAGGTGGATTTTAAGAAGTAAAGACATGATCTTAGCACCAAGATACCCATGAGGGTCATCTGGCTTTAAGAGAAGAATGTTGATCTCTTACAAGCACATTTCTAACCTTGATTGATTATTTCACAAATGCATGCTTTTGAACATGACAAAAGACCCGAAGAGAGATCTTGAAGGGTTTAGAACAGTCACCACCATTCCTGGCAACACTTAAAATTCATGTTCTGCTAACAGTAATCAGCAACACCACTGTTTTATATGAAAGTCTGCTTTTACTTTCAGCAATATATGATATTGTTTACATATGCAAAAGAGCAAATAGTCACGTAAAAACAAAACAAAAAACAAGAAAACCTCATTTCTTTCTTCAAGATTAAAACTCTAAAGGCTATTGCTGATCTTCAACAGTTCCATGGAAGATCTAATTGTGAGTCACCTGATGAAAAGCATTCTTGAAGATTTACATGCCACAGATACACTCTGAACGGGGTTTAATTCTGCTAAGATAACTGATTATCAACCTGCAATCTTTGGGACAGCATTTTTAAAATTTACTCCTAACATGCTGGAGATCCCCTAACTACGAATTGCTGTATTAACAATCAACTATCTTTGATTCAAGAGAGTAAATACAAATAGTCACAGGACCTGTTATATGCAAACTGCAAGAGACAAATAATTTTAAAGTAGACTTAAGACAGTTGAAAAATGACAACCTCCAAAAGTGAAGTAGTGCCTATTCCAATTCTATCAAAACATATCTATGAACCAGCTTTGAACAATTGGAACAAAAACATCCTTCAAGAGGCAAAGGATGAAATCCAGATATGTTATTTTGGATTGCTGGGATAAATTTTAACTGTTCCAGATGGTGGCCCCTACAAATTCTTTACTTTTTCCTAGAAGTAAAAATCTCATACTGTTTGGTATGAACAGAAGAAGTATTTCAAACAGACTTTTCAAAAGACATTTTTCACATGAGAAACAAAATGTTTAAACTGAAGAATGATTAACTATGATAATGTTGAAAAAAACATACCCAATACCATGTAACAACTATTTTTAAAAAGATGTCACTTGGCCACATGGTTCCTGACTAGTCCTAGAATGCCTCTCAGTCTTTTCTAAGACTTGTGAGCCTGTGGCATTTCCTCTCTGTGTATACTGCTGTATTTCCCTTTAAGGGTCCCATGATTCCTAAGTCTATGTTTTATATCATGTTTACTATTAATATAAAGGCTGCTGGGGAGAAAAGTACCCGCCATCTCCTCGAAAACACAAAGAGTGGAGGGCTGAGATCGGCCTGAGGACTTCAAAAGGTTTTGCTTGCCTTTGTTCTGGCTACACTCTCTCCTACAATACTACTATGTCCTGTGGGTTAAATTTCACCTGCGCTTCTGGCTACAATGTGGATACCACAGCCAAAAACACTTGCAAGCATCAATTCCTGACTTGGCGGCTCTTGCTACTAAGTGGCAAGCATCTAATGCCACCCTCACCTGATGCTTGGCCGTCTCCATACCCTCCAGAACTGTCGTCTTGAAGTCCTCCTGCTTGCCCTGTGGAAGGAAAGAGGAGAACTCAGGGACCTTACTCCATAAATTAGGATAATATCTGGACATAAAGGCCTAATAGTTGGCGACTCATGAATTCACCACCAACTAGTAAACCCATCTTCAGAGAGCTCCTTCTTCTGGAATCAAGGCCCAGGGAATTACATCATTTAGATCAGTCTTCCATTTCCTGGTCAGGAAGTTTCAACTTTACATGCTGATTCTTGTTGAAAGGCAGTGGAACAAAGTACATAGTATTTCTAATCACTAAATCCTTGTTGTCAGTCTTATTTAATATTAATAGTCTGGATGGGGGAAAATAGATTCCAAGGGTCTTTTACTAACGGTTGCTAGACTGAAAATGGAGGTGACATAGACTCTAGAACCTGGAGTTGCAATTCAGCATCTCAACTCAGTATCCCTTCAACTTTCTAATTTTAATGAAAGATTTTCTCCTTCACTTCAAAGCAGGGAGTATAACTAAAAGACTCAGTCCCCAAAGAGGTTTCATTTACTACATACAGTAGATACTACTACAGCTAAATATGCCAGTGCTTCCCAAATAAAACTAAAGAATACACAATAAGACACTCTGTACACATGTGCCAAGCAGTGTAGATAAACACACACTTGTGGGAACATAGAGGAAGGCAGGCAAGATCTTGGATCTTCCACTTCATGCTATATAACAAGCTTTGTGAAGAAATTTTCCTCACTGATTAATATGTAGAAGTAACTTCAAGAAAAGAATCAAAGCTTGAAAATTCAATCTGAAAAAGAATAGACTGACTTCTGAACTCTTCCAAGACAGATGTTATAATGCTCTTAAGTTTCTAGCCACCTGGTACACTACAAGAAAATGAGCATGATCTTTGGAAGATATAAACCACTACCTTCCAATGATCTAAATAAACTCAGACAAGCTTCATTAAATAGTTTATTTTAAAATATACACCCCAATAAGAAAGCAGATTTGAGTTAGAAGGGAACAAAGAGAATAAGAAGGTATTTAGATATAGGAAATTATTTCTAATAATGATATTAGAAAGTGTTACTCTGTTACGAAGGTAGAATAGAATCTCATCCTAAGGTATACTTGTTTATAGCCCTTGGAAAAGGGTTTACAATCATGAAGAGATGATCAGCTTACTAAATCCATTTGCAAACTTATCTCGAAAATATAGGTCCTACATTTTAAACTGTACTATAAAGTTTAAATCAGACATATTCATTCTTAGTAAATTCTGAATTTATTCATAAAAAATACTTTGTACAGCTGGGCACAGTGGCTCACACCTGTAAACCCAGAACTCTGGGAGGCCAAGGTGGGCGGATCACTTGAGGTCAGGAGTTTAAGACCAACCTGGCCAACATGGTGAAACCCTGTCTCTACTAAAAATACAAAAACAAAAACTAGGCAGGTGTGGTGGCACTTGCCTGTAATCCCAACTACTTGGGAGGCTGAGGCAGGAGAATCGCTTGAACTCAGGAGGCATAGGTTGCAAAGAGCCGAGACTGTGCCACTGTACTCCAGCCTGGGCAACAGAGTGAAATTCCATCTCAAAAAAAAAAAAAATTATATATATATTTCACAGGGTTTCAAAAAATGTTGTCATTGTTTTGTTTGGTTCCAAACAGAACAAGACTGGATCAGAAAACTGAATTGTATTTGGGGAAGAAAAAGCAGGGAGGGATTCAGAAAAATGAAACAAATAGTTTCCAAGAATCACATTTAAGATTTGGAATAACACAGCTCTTCTGTTTCAAATTATGTTTCTGACTTGGCAAAAATAAAAGTTACAATCTCTTGTCAGGAAGGTATCTCACCACTACTAAAAACTTAGATTAAAAAAGCAAAACAACAACAACAAAACACATATTTTCAAGGTAGCCTGAGTCTGAATTACTTTAACTTTCCTATTTCTATCATTTTTCTTCTTTTCCAACTATTATACACGTGCAATGAATTCATTAATTTAACCTACAGGTAGCTCGACTGATTTTTGTATGTGGATCAATGGTGCTTTGACTCACAAAAAAATATGGATTTCTTACCCCTGACTTGTGTACTCAACAGGTTAACAAGAACAAAAGAGGAGGGCTGGGCGCGGTGGCTCACGCCTATAATCCCAGCACTTTGGGAGGCCGAGGCTGGTGGATCATGAGGTCAAGAGATCGAGACCATCCTGGTCAACATGGTGAAACCCTGTCTCTACTAAAAATACAAAAATTAGCCCGGCGCGGTGATGTGCACCTATAATCCCAGCTACTCAGGAGGTTGAGGTGAGAGAATCACTTGAACCCAGGAGGCAGAGGTTGTAGTGCGCCGAGATGGCGCCACTGCACTCCAGCTTGGGCGACAGAGCAAGACTCTGTTGAGAGAAGGGGGAGAGGGAGAGGGAGAGGGAGAGAGAGGGAGTTGGGGGGAGAGAGAGAGAGAGAGAGAGAGAAATGAAACTTCAAAGTGTTATTTAAGCAGAGAAGTAGAAGGAAACCAAGTGGAAGATACCACGTAAGAAATTACAGAAAACAAAATTTAAAAGGGCTTAAAATTAAGAAACAAGATATTTATCTCTTGATGATGTTAACTTGCTTGGATATAAAGGATGAAGTTGTTATTTTCATTCCAATCATACTTGAGAGTATTTTGAAGGTGTCTACTTCTCCAAAGACAACTGAAAGATCATCTTTATTAGCAGTATATTATGGACCAATTCTTGAACATTTTCTTAAAAACAGCACACATAAAACACTTGCAGCTAACTTTTCATCCAGGTAGTCTCTGATTATGATATATATAAAATGCCTTATTCATCTGCTTTTTGGGTTTCTCCAGCCTAGGACTCTGCTTCTGATAGTGGCTCACAGACACGTTAACAGCAGAAAGTAGCGCTGTTAGCTTTCCATGAGCGCAAATTCAAAATAGCAAATGAAAATATTCAGAAGCAACTTTTAAATAACACCCTGATTTTGGCACCACTACACAAGAGACTCTCTTTTGTTTTTATCCCAAACCACCAAACCTACAAAATATTCTTCAAGCTTGAAGCAGAGACTCTTTTTAATTTTTTATTTTTAGAGACAAGGTCTTGTTCTGTCACCTAGGGTGGAATACAGTGGTGCAATCATAGTTCACTGTAATCTTGAACTCCTGAGTAGCTAGGACTTAGCCTCCTGAGTAGCTAGGTCTACAGGCATGTACTACCATATCTGGCTAAATTTTTTCTTTTTTTTGAGACAGGCTCTCGGTATGTTGCCCAGGCTGTTTTGAACTCCTACTCTCCCACTTCAGCCTCTCAGAGCACTCGGATTATAATATATAATATATAATATATAATATATAATATATAATATATAATATATAATATATAATATATCAGAGTCCTCCAAATTGAAAATGAAGATTCTTTTCCTTTATCTTACGTAACAGTCTTTCAGTAGTCCTCTAGACCTTCAGATCTAAGAGTCCTTCTTGAACAGCGAAGTGTTGTAGTTATAATCACATTCCTCAATGTTTTCTCATCTTAATTCAAATACTCAAAAGACCACTCTTCCAAGATCTTAAAAAGAAGTCTAGGTTGACTTTCAAATGCTTTTATCTGGCAAACAAAGAAGGAGGTGAAAATCACTAGTTGGCTGTTCCCAGGAACACAGATTCACATTTTGACTAGTTTCTTGAAATCACATTCAAATTATAAACATTTTAAGAAATTTCTACATCTAGGAAGCAATGATTTCCCTATAGAAGATAAATTTATCAAAATGGCCAAATTTATGGAATAAAAGTGAATGCCACCCTTTTATTGAAATAAAACTTCAAAAAACTTCAAAAGTTAAAGCCAACTTAGAATATAAGTCTTCATCATATTTACACACTAGCTGAGTTTCTTATTTAATAATATCACTAATTCAATGTTTACTATATCCACCCAAAACTCCAAAGCACAAATAAAAAGTAAAATAGGTAGACTCTCTGTTTTCAAAGGGTTATAATCCAGTTGGGAAAAGATGAAAAATACCTACAAGGGAAGTTTTGTTGTTGCTGTTAAGAAACAAGAAGCTGACACATCTTAGAGAATCAGGCTTTCGGAACAATTCTGGAGAGATATGGATAGATTGTGAGGCAGTGAAACCACCACTGTGGTCCAGAACACTTACAAAGCACAGACATGGTATGTGCAGAGGACTGCACTGTTCCTACTTACTGAAGGAGATGGTTTGAAAGAGCAGTGAGAGATCAACTGACTTGGTAAAATGAGCCCTTTCCAGTATCCAAACCTGAACATGATTTTAGTAATAATGGAGGAAAACGGTGTGATCCTTGGCACAAAGACAACAAACAAATGCTATTTTAGTTAAACTAATCTGGCCACTTTGTACCAGATGGATTAGAGGGAAAACCTAGATAAAGGAGATCCAATTGAAAGGCTATTAAAATAATTTAGATAGAACTTGAAACTCACTAGAAAAAGGTGACAGTAAAAATGGGTAAGGCCTAACAAATGAAAAAGACTGTGTATAGTAAGATGCATAACTTTACAACAGACTTGGTAAAAAGGGATAAAGAACTTTCAGAATGACTCTAGGGTTTTAAGTTCTGAAGACTAGTAATGCTATAAACAAAATGAGAAATTTGGGAGACCAGCTAGTATAATTAAATAGAAGTGTTCTAAAGATAGTTGGAAATTAAAGAACAGAATTCAGAAGCAAGAATGGGACTAAAAGACTTCAAAATAGCATGGAGGTAGTAATAGGCTCAGGGAATTTGAAGGAGTCATAAATGCATGATTAATCTCATGAGCATAAGGAAAAGTCACAGTTTCAAAAAGAAATTGACTGACAGTGGCTCACACTTGTAATCCCAGCACTTTGGGAGAGACCAAGTCAGTAGGATCACTTGAGACAAGGAGTTCAAGACCAGCCTGAGCAACATTCATAATAAAATTGTGAGTTCCAATTAGAAGAGCAATCCCTGGGTTACAGTGTTACTTAAAAATACTGAACTA